AATATTGCACCTGGCCTTTGCGTGACGCTCACGCATACCAACAAGCAGCTTTTTTTAGAAATGGTGAAAAATATCGATATATTTTTTTAATATCGATATATCTAAGATTTCGGAAACTATTTTTCAGATAATTTTTGAGAGGCTTTTGAAAGTGAAAACTAATTGGTAAAGTTTTCATTTCTTTGTTGTATTTTCAAAAATCCGTAAAATAATAAGTATGGATTTTATTTTTAGAAGTAGAAAATAAAACTGATTTAAAGCTGTGTTATATGAAATAAAAATACAGGATGTTCTATTTGAAATAGCGAACAAGTTACTGAAACTTTAGTTAAAAACGATATATCTGAAAAGTGGTTAAAAACTAGAGTGGAAGAACTCTATTAATACTTAGCGATATTATCCTAAACATCAAGAATATACCCGCGAAGAAAAGTTACATTACCTTATACAGGGTATTTTTTATTGGTTCGCCAACATAGTAATATTTAGAATGCTATGTTTTTTAAATGCAACACCGTATATATTATTTTTCTTATAGATGCACAATTAAATAACGAACATTTTATGTATTTTACGTGTTAAATTTTTAACGGTTTTGCAGATATTCACAATATTATATTACATATTTTTATCAATGATCTTTGTCTAGTAGATAATATTATAAAATATAGCGAATATCTAAAAACAAAAAACAAACCGGCTAAAAAATTAAGAACACTTTAAATACAAAAAATGTTCATTTTTTAATTCTGCATCTAAGCAAAAAATAATATATAGGGTGTGGCAGTTAAAAACATTGCAATAGAGCATTTTAAATATTGCGATTTTGGCGACGACATAAAAAATACCTTGTAAAGGATAATGTAAATTTTCCCTCGCGAATTTATTCTGTAATCCTTAGTGTTTAGGAAAATATAGCTAAGTATTCATAAAGTTATATTCACTCCAGTTTTTAACCGCTTTTCGGATATAGTGTTTTTAACTAAAGTTTTAGTAAATAAAAAATTGAAAAAGAACACCGTATAGTATTTCAAATATAAATAGAGTATTATATGCAGAATTTTATGCTGAATCCAATTATATACAGAAAATACAGAAAAATGTGGGTGAATTTAAAAAAAACTTAAAACCCTATCATAACTTTTTTGGAACACCCCGTATGCAACAAAATATTTTTAGGATATACACCATTATAAACCATGCAATAACACCTGTATAAAAAATGTTTCCATATATTTGTCAACAACTTTATTGGACTTCGTCGCTCTAATGGGTCACCCTGTATATATATTTACACGTTCTAGTATTAAAAAACTAAAATATAGATGAAGCTACATAAAAAAAAAATATAGGCAGAAAAACTATCGAAATGTTATGCTATTTGTGTCGACTATGCTATATTTTAATAATATCGACAGAATATATCGATATTTTTCTCTATCTAGATAGACATCCCTAACATTGCGTAAAAAAGGAAATCAAGAATCGTGCGAGTTGTATAGCAATCGATAGAAGTCATTCCGATTTTGATAAAATTTAGCAATTTACGAAGCGATTCGGTTTGCAACAATAAGATAACTGGGCCAATTATACGCTCTTTATTTTTCTGTAACCCACTTTGAATTCTTATGAAACACCGTTTTACTTTGTCCTTAAACCATAGAAGAATTCGCGTTGTCCAACAGAGAAGATAGTTCGGTATATATTTCAAAAAATAAATTTGTGAAATCTTTGAAAACTAGCGATAGTATAATGGTAATATAAAAATAGTATATAGCCTAAAGGCATCTTAAAATAAATAAATTCAGATTCATCTACGGTTACGTATATAGGTAAAGTAAGATGTTCACAATTCTACGCCAATGTTTCTAAAATATAAAATAATTTTTCTTCATTTTTTTTTAAATGGAACACCCTATATATTATTTTTCAGTAGATGGAGAATTAAAAAATTAACATTTTTTGTATTTAGACTATTTCAAAATTTTTAACGGTTTGGCAGATATTCGCGATTTTATATTTTATTTGGAATTTTCCACAGTAAATTTTTAGCAAAACCACTAAATGATTTTTCTCTCGTATTTTACCGTTAAAAGAGCCACATGAGCTGATAATGCGTGAATCTGCGAAACCATTAAAAATTTTAAAATACTTTTAATACAAAACATTTTCAGTTTTTAACTCTCCATCTAATAAAGAAATAATAGGTATACAGGGTGTCCCAGAAATAAGTGCAAGTATTTTAACTGGTAGTATAGTTCAACCCTAGAAACACGCCTATGTGGTTATTTTCGCGAAAAAAAAATTCTGAAAATTCGAAAGTTTTTGAAAAAATTTTTGGAATTTTTTTTAGTTAAAAAAACATAATTTCTTGATAATATGGTAACAGGCATTAGTTTAAATTTACAAGAAAGAAAATCCAGAAAAGATCCAGTTTCTCCAAAATTTAAGCAAAAAATCATTTTTTATGGAAATTTTCAAAGTAAAATAACTCCGTTATTTTGGGCTTATTTGAAAAACGATAAAGGGAAAATATGTTTCTCTTATCGAGATCTACCACCCTTTAAAATACTTGCACTTATTTCTGGGACACCCTGTATAGGGTCCATTTAAAAAAAACAAAAAAAACTTATTTTATATTTTAGAAAGTTTGGCGTAGAATTTTGAACACCCTGTATGATTTAATATTACTTTATTTATAGCAAAGTAAGTACAGACCATCTAAAGTTAATCTAAGACCACCTAATATAGTTTTGATTTCAGGACAGTTATTTATATTTTTAATAATTTTTTAAGGGAGGTTGAAAGATATATATTTTTTATTTATTTATTAATATCTCTAAAACTATCGAAATCTATTTACTCATATCTTAGGATTACGTAAAGTAGGCTGAAAGGAAGCCAAAAACGCAATAATATACAGTTCCATTAAAAAAAAAGTCATGCCGATCCACTCACACTTTTCTGAGCCACCCTATAGAAGTTAAAATATTTTCCTGAAATATATCCTCGTACATACTGTAGGTTTGCATTTAAACAAAATTCACATTTTTTTTATTCTAGGAGCTACATATTACAGATGCCCGACGCACTATTGCCGTACCCTGTATATTTATGGCCGTTTTCCCAGCACTTATTAAAGATTACTTTAAGTTAAGTTGAGCTTTAAATATGACAAGCAAATTTAAAAAGTCACATATGAAGTCACATTGAAAACTACACTTACCTTATACGTGCTGAGAAAGCAGCCATTGGCAAGATAAATAAGATTCTCCAGTATTAATTTTACAAATAATATAATAAAATATGCTTATTACCTTATGACATCCACAAGAAATGCGCCATCCTGAATAGTAGAAACTATACTTTTATATATGTGTTGCCACACACAAGTTTCCTACAACACAGAACATAAAACAAATAAACCTGAAGCCTGAAGGTTACGTAAAATGTTTAAATTTTTCGTATACTCATCGAGAATTTTTTGTGGCGATCGAAAAACCCTAAAAAACCGGAGCAATTTTGTTCAAAACAACATTATCCAAGCGGCATTCTCATTCTCTATCTCCCCCGCATTGAAATTTTCGATTGATACCGTCGTTCTACGCGCAGAAAACACATCGCACTTGCCATGAATTAAAAAACTGTCGCCATGAAGTTGTCACTGTATAGGTTAAAAAATACAAAAATAATAATACGGAAAATAGCTTTTAAAATATAGATTTTCAAAAACTTACCTCTGTAAAAGACGTAAGAAACTTCTTAGAAAGATCGTATAATGAAAAAATCACTCGCGCACAAATATATCCGCAAAAATACGAAGACAAAAGTTCGAAATAGTTTTCGGTAGGCTTTTCTACTGTCTCTTTGCTAATTACTGGCAAAATTGTTGGGATTTAGTAGCGTGCTGTGACTGATTGTCAACCAATGACGAGATGTATTTTACTTCTGGTACTAGAACAGACATACTGTGATGGTTGACGGATATTTTAATAAAAATATTGTTCTGGGAGATAAATATTTTGGAATTACATAATAAATGGCTGGCTTATAAAAAATATATCATTTTTAGTAATGCTATTTTTAAAAAAATTATAATAACTTCTGGAAATATATGGTTATTGGAGTAAATAGTACATTGTTTCTTCAAAAGAAACACACTTCTTCCCGAATTTTGGAGGATTCTCACTTATAATATTAAAAATAATGCACTTTCCTATACAGGGTGGTCCGAAGTGTATTCCGGAAACTTCAGCAGCATATTATACAGATAAAAATAAGTAAAAAAGTTCGTATAAATGTATGTCCTAAGATGCTTAGTTTCAGAGATACAGGGTGTAGACGTTTCATTTTTATTTCAATTTTTTCTAAATAATTTCTGAAGTAACGTCAATATTTGGATGAAAATTGGGGTCTGGGAGTTTTTTGACATGAGAAATTCGATTTTGATGTCAATATGACTCCTACTAGTAGAGGGAGCCACCTACATGTGTTTTAACAAAGGTTTTAACTGTTTTGAAGCGTAATAACTTTTTGTCCGTACCTGTATAAAACTACCGAGCGAAAATGAAAAGAATATACATCTATGTGACTTTTTACGTAAAAAATATATCTTTGTAAAAACCGCTACGAGCAACCGTTCTTAAGATATTTAGAATGGAAATGGCCAATACATGTCATTATTATTGACGAAAAATAAACACGTTGAGTAGATAGTTATTTCACTGAAATAATAAATTTGGGAAATTTTTATTTTTTTAAACTAATCATAATTTTTTCTGCAAAAAATGATGGTACTTTTGGCACAAAAACATTTCAAATTTATGATTTCAGTCTAATAACTATTTAACTATAGCTTACATGAATTTAACTGTAGCCTACATGAATTGAATATGCAATCTTTAGCGATTATCCTTCAAATATACATCCGTTAAAAACTACATTTTTTATGAAATCCGCATTAACTATTTTGTAACTGACAATTTCTCTTTCTTTTCCAGGTGTTGACGAAGTTATGAGAACGCCCCAGATGATCGACCCGTTAGCAGAGCCGATGGACGACTGCGACGACATCTTCGGCCCGCCCCGCGCCTTCCCTTCCGGTTACTACACCAGAAACCGTCCCTCCATGATTTCCGCCAAGTACAAGCAGAAAGAGGAACGGCGCAAAGTGCTCAAGATCAGCCTGAACAAACTAAAGAAAATCGACGACCCCGAAGTCAGCTTGTGCCGTTCCGTGCTCATCAATAACACGATGAAGCGGCTTCAGCAGGAGACCAGGGACGAGAAGCTGCAGAAACAGCAGCTTAACTATCCCAGGTGCTACAACAATGACAGTTTTATCAATATCAAAAGCGAATTTTTGAAGAACGAGAAGCCACCACCGCCGGCGGTCGAGACTGTGGTGAGTTCTAGTGCTCCGATCGAAGATTTAGTGATAGAGACTGACTTTCATGCCAAATTGGAGGAAGAAATTAACCACGCTACCCAACATCAATCTTCTAACGCGAGCGAAACGTCTCGTAAAAGACAGTTCGATGATCTGGACGATTGTGACGTGCAGGATGTTCTTTCGCAGTTCTACCTTCCCCCTACGCCCCGCATGTTAACGGCTTTAGACGAGGACGAAGACGTGGATGTTGTAACGGAAGACCCTCTAATAAAACGCCTCAAATTGGAGGAAACACCTCCTTCCACACCTTCTTACTCCATCAACAACAACCTAACTGCTCGTTACACGAGCGCAACGTGTTTGGACTCTAGTGAAACAAGCTCATTCAGTTGTGGTCACGCCTCGATGTTCGGCGAATTGCAAAGCAGCGTCTACCAGAGTCTGATTACGTCGCTGGAGACGTAACAGCGTCGTGACGTCGCGGGGGATATGTCTGTCCCCCTCCCCCACCCCTGCTTCAATGTGATAGACTGGCAGTAGCTGCTCTCTTCTTCATTCCGAGGACGAAGATTCTCGAAGATTCTCGGTCGTTATCAATCCGTTGTTACCTCTTTAAGTTAATAATTATTGAGAACTGATTACACGACAAAAAGTGCTTAAACGAGAAAGAAAAAAAATAAGCGAAACCGTTCTTTTGAAATGATTTATATGTCTTAAAATGGTAGAAGTATACATATACCAGGTTCAGTTGAGCAAACAAGTGATTTTGGCGCTTTTTTAGCCGAACCACTATACCCTAATAATAGAGCTGCAACAAGTCGGTTTCAAAAAGATTTAAATCTTAAGTCATTTCCATAGATAAATGAAACAAGTTTCGGTTGGAAAGTGCCCATATAATGACAATGTAAATACTATATGGCCCTCTTCTTACAACGAACGGTCGCAACTCAAAGCTATTGATAATTTCGGAGCGGTTCGGCATTTTCCGGAATTATGTCACCAAATATATTATTTATTCAAATTTATTATTATTTTACTTTAATTTTATAAATAAAATACAGTGTTTTGCATACAAGAAACTTTATTTTATATAAGGACATGTATGTGAAATACCTTGAAAAGACGTGACATGAAACATTGGAAACCGACGTTATGCCACGATGGTTTTTGCAGTTCACAGTTCACACAGCTTAAGTTTTTTTAATGCCACTTTTTCACAATTATCAGGGGTTTGAGTAAATAAAATTTAAATTAAACTTTCAAGATAGTAATAATTACTATGAAAATGGACGCTTTAAACGCTTTTTGTTATCTTTTCAATGCGAGCGGTTTAAATATTGAAAGCTTTTATAATTTTTGAGGATTCCGATTTTGACAAGACAAAATTATTTCTGTTCATGTTTGCGGTTGTTCTTAGCAACCGCTATAGCAGTGCCAGATCCCCGTACAACGTATGCGACCCAAAACAATTATGCGTTTTAGCGGGATGCCGAGCATTCCAATCTAAATTTATTTCCTTTATCTAAAGTAATTTCTAAAACCAAACTGATTTAAATCTTAAGTCAATTTCAACATAAAGTTTAAATGATTTTTTTTTTCAAGTCAAGTAATAACTTAAGTCTTTTCTAGAAAGACTTAAATCTTTTAAAAGGATTGAGCCTTTTTTTAATGACAATTCTTTTTCTATTTCGGAATAAAGATTTAAATCACAAATCATTTTAAAAATTACTTAAATTTTAAGTCTTGAATCAGATTTCGAAAAACGACTTTAAATCAAATGACTTAGGTCATTAAAATGATTTCAATCAAAAAACACTTAAGTTTTCGGTGAGCTTGCGGCTCTACATACCACACTTTACTACAGTAGCATAAACGCAACTTTTTTAATACTGACATACTTTGTGTAGCACATCCTTGTAAAGCTCGTTGCTTTCTCTTTAGGCTCTTATAGCAGAATTATAAATTGTACAATTAGCTTTTGTTGGTTAAAAGTAAGTAACAAAGACGCCATCAGGAAAATTAAAGTTCTCATTGCAATCTACAATTTGTATTTGAAATCTTCATAATATTATTTTATGTCTAAAATATATTTTCGATTGCCACTTTTCAAATGGTAATTGTACTTGTACGTACGTGCATTCTAATTTTCCAGATAAAATCAATGTGATAACATGCTGAACAGTATTGTTTTTTGTTTGATACGCGTTGTACACTAATATAATTCTCTTTACTATACAGTATATATACCGATTTGGTCATTTCACAAGTAGTGTGATCTGGATTTTAACACGTATGATAGCGATGTAGGCAGCTTAATGGAAAATCAAATGCATTAAAAAGAGATAAAAGTTGGGTTGATTCTTCTATGCGGTATTGCCGGATTTTGCATCAAAAGTTCAAACCGCGCAAGTAGGCATTTATGGAAACTGTTGCATCTAGGATTGAAACCTTATTTTTCACAAATAGTTACTCATTTTACTACAGATGTAATATATTATATTTAGCTTAATATATTATCTTCATTTCAGTTGTAGTATACATGAAATTTTTTAAAATTATTTTTTTTCTACACAAATTTTCCTACAAACGTAAAAACCGGCAACACTGTCAACCGGTCATTTATATTATTATTCTCTGTCTTACACGATAAAATCCAGACCACACTTCTAAAATAACCAAATCGGTACTATATATTAATGTTACGGTTAAGGTCCGATATCCGGTTAATGTCGACATTACCCGGTTAATCTCGAGAATAACACACAACAAAACAGCCAAAAACATAACCTAACCCAAACATTAACGTGTTAATGTCGACATTAACCGGACATCGGACTTTAACCGTAACATATATTAGCGATACCACATAAACTTTTACTGACGTGATTAAACTTAACCGGCTCAGCATTGTCCACTTTTTCATATTTTCTTTTAATCAAAATATTTTAGGAAACAAAAATACATTAATTATAAATATATAAACAGTTATTATTTATATCAACAAAATTCACCTCCTTAACAGCGCTTAAGGGACATAAAGGGCCATTAATAACGCTTTCCCGTTCAAAATATTCTAATAAGCTTGCGATGAAGGTTTTGCAACCAATATTAAGCTATCTTGTACCTTGTACCACATCGTACTAAAAGCGGTTCTAAAAAGAACAGTGTTCGACTGCAAGGTGTGCTAGTGTGGTAGTAAAAAAACTAAGCTTAAATTATCACAATTCATTTAAACCAAAAACTCGTAATACAAAACTAAAGTATCAAAACGAATGACAATGTCAGGAAATAAATAAATGTGGCGACTTGACATTTTTTGCCACCTTAATTGACAGCGAAAAATTTAAATTCCAGTTAGTACCGGCGCCAAAGTTTACAGAACATCGGCGCCGAATAGTTCCATGGTTGGCAACAATGAATTTAAAAATCGCGCCTGCGATTACGTAACTAAAAGTTTAGTTGGTATTACTGGTTGTCTCTGGTATTACACGTATTACACACCTTGTAATCAGGGTTCGGAAAACTACATGTTACTTTTAAAAACTACTAAACTACATGACATGTAGTTAATGTAGTTTATGTAGAGGGTGTAGTTTATGTAACTTATGTATGTAACTTTCAAATATCAAAGGTTTGAGGTGAGGTTTTAATAAGTTGAAGCTTTAAAAACACATAATGTATTTAAGAAAACAGAAGAAATATGGCTTTAAATATAATATTTACATCATATTATCTCTATTACACCTCATACAAAGGAAAATTATTCATAATATCAATACATATTATATTAACGTAGTTTTCATGTAGTTAATGAACGGAAAAAGACATAGTTTTTGAAGAAAAACTACACGTAGTTAATCAGGTAAATTACGTCTTAATTAACTACTTCCGAACCCTGCTTGTAATATATGTTCTGAAGTAATTCATTGTAACAAAAACAGTGTTATCCTTTTACTGAAAAAGCATGGTTTAATTGTTTGTTATTCTGAGTCTTTTATTTAATAAATACATTTAAAGAAATATAACGTTAAGGTCTCAAGTTATATTTTTATATGGATAAGCAGATATTTTTGTCGTGCAACATAGTTTTCTAAGTAAATAATATAGAGAGCAATCGATCTGTGATATGTACTTAAAACATGAAATAAATCCTATTTGTTGTTAAGTAAATTAAGAAATAGCATTATACGTAGCTGAATTTTCAAGTATTTTATTAAAATTAAACAGAACTTGTAAATGTGCACCTCTCGTTATCGACCTGCCAAATTATTAAGATATTTTTAATTTCTTTCTTGTTCTTTTTTCAGTTTCCATGAAAATCGACATTGAATATTTTAGATCTCAGCTTCTGAGATATTGGCTAGATAGAAAAATAATTGAAGGGCTTATTGTAATAACATGATAGCCACTCAACCAGAAATCAGTTTTATATACTAGTAAATAGTGTTTTTCTTGCCTTTTATCCAACAAATTTGTTGATAAATACTTAGCCAGTTAAACTAAAATCAAATTTATATTTATTTAATTTACACATTTTTCAAGACGGCAAAGTCTAATAATTCAGAATTATGGATTTGTAGCATTATCATGTTATTATTACAATAAGCCCTTCAATTATTCTACTTCACATAAGCATAGACCACTTTTAATTTATTTTATTGATATTTAATTTGAAATAAGTACTTAATGTGAAATAGTCTATACAGGTAGATTAAAATATCATTTTCCAAAGTGATATTTTGTGAAGCTTTTACAAAAAAAATGTTCTACGCCACTGTGAAAAGAAAAACGATATTATTTTTATATTTAATGGAAGTTTATTGTGACTCCCATCATAACAAATAAAATTATTTTACCATTCCATAACAAATTTAAGTTGATTATGTTGTTTTAAATATAGAATATTTTTTGAACGTATTTACGTTATACTGTATTTGTTTTGAGAGACATTTTGTACAGTTTCTTTTTTAATCGCCTCTGTAAATATGTACAGATGTTATACGTATGTATTTTTAGTTATTTAAATAGGGTCTCAATGAAAAAGTTACTTTTTTTGTTTATTTTACGCTATTTTTTAGACGTGTTTGTGCTTTTTTAGTTCATCTATGCGTACACCGACATTTCTAAACTACATAGATAATCAATATAGTCTCTCCAGCGAAGCGATACTTAACATTGACATTTCTTGTTTGTCGTTTTAGGTCACAGCAAAATTGACCTACCTGTCATTTTTGCATGGCGTCTGACAAAATATTCTCGTTGGACAGACTTTATACATCAGTTCTAAACAAATTTTAATAATAGAATAATATACATACGTATCTATAAATTCGTGTTAATTTTGTTTTAAGAGTGTCATATCCTAAGAAATGTTCCTGTACGTAATTAGTTTATTTTGTTTATTATATTTTAGATTATCTTATTCTTAATAATTCAAAAGTTATAACTTAATTTGTTTAGTTATTTTTTAATAGGTTCTATTCTGTTTGGTTATTTATAAAAAAATAGAAAAAAAACATATTTGTCTGTTGAAAGAAACACAATAATGTTGATCGATGTACCAAAATATGTTTCAATGTTACCATCGTCCAGATCATGTCATATTTATACACACACCTTACCATTATGTAAATTCTTATTGTATTCATTAAAAAAATAGAATTTAAGTCAAGTCTTAAATATCGTGTATATGTACATAAAGGCATTCTTCTTCGTAGAAAATGCAATAAAGTACCTGGAAAATTATTGTTGTTTTAATATTACCGTTACTGTACCTTCAATACTTAATTAAAGTTCCTGCAAAAAAAAGACAAGCCTGCAAATATATAAAATGATAACGACCTTCATTTCAAAGCCATCGCTAACGCCGTTTTTTTTTATTATATTTTACTACAAACTTTGAAATAAATACCAAATTTATTTTCTCTTAAAACATACAGAGACATCTACACAAAAAAGCACTAAGCCAAATTACAGAATACTATAAAATTTCAAATAGAAGTTTTCTGTTTTACAATACAAGTGACATCTATGGACGACTAACTAAAGCTGACGTTGGAAAATAGTTTCAGAATTCTTTACATTATTTGTACAGAGACATCTACACAAAAAAAGACTAAACCAAATTACAGAGTACTATAAAATTGCAAATAAAAGTTTTCTATTTTATAATGGAAGTGACATCTATAGACGACTAACAAAAGCTGACCTAGGAAAATAGTTACAGAATTCTTTACATTATTTGTACAGAGACATCTACACAAAAAAGCACTAAGCCAAATTACAGAACACTATAAAATTTCAAATAGGAGTTTTCTGTTTTACAACATAGGTGACATCTATGGACGATTAACAAAAGCCGACTTTGGAAAATAGCACAGACTAACCTAAGTTAGTTTGTGAAAATAGTTAATTCTTTACATTATTTATAGTTTTCTCTATCATTAATCTATGCACTGCCATCTCTTATAAATTTTCTAAACGTCAAATTCTGACCAATAGAACAATGCCACACCTGACAGTTACCGGTTCTGTGGACAACGAATTCACAAATCAGCTGTTTTGGTAAAATATGTATTGCTTTTCAATTTTCTGACGTGGTTTAAAACGTTTTAATTCTCCATTTATCAAAGAAAGCTGAATTAAAATTGAGACATCAAGTACCAACAACTAACCGATTTGAATATTCACCCGTATTAAATACATATATTTAACGGTACATTGAGGTTTTTAAGTTAACCTCCAAAATCGTTTCCATACTTTAGGTAATATATCTTAATATTTATTGTTATATATCATCTATAAATTGATTAATTTTTCAGATATAGTCAAACGCAATGCGAATATCAATACTTTTATTTAGCTTATTATTATGCTACATTGGAGTAACAAATGTAGTTTCTATAGCTGTTATGTCTGTTGATTTGGGTTCAGAATGGATGAAAGTCGGAATAGTATCACCAGGAGTGCCTATGGAAATTGCTTTAAATAAGGAATCAAAAAGAAAAACACCGGCCATCATCAGTTTTCGAGATAATGTAAGACTGTTTGGTGAAGATGCCCAAACATTAGGTCTGCGTTTTCCAAAGCAAGCATATGGTTATTTGCTGGATTTACTGGGGAAAAGTATTGATCATCCATTAGTAAAACTGTATCAAAGAAGATTTCCATATTATGACATAATTGCTGATGAAGAAAGGGGAACAATTTTATTCAAACAGGATACAAATACAACTTTTAGCCCGGAAGAATTAGTGGCACAGTTTTTAACAAAAGCCAAGGAATTTGCAGAAAGAGGGGCAAATCAACCCATTAAAGAATGTGTACTGACTGTTCCTGGATTCTTTAATCAAGCTGAAAGAAAGGCCCTCTTACAATCTGCTAGTTTGGCCGGTCTTAAAGTCCTTCAACTGATTAATGATTACACTGCTGTAGCTTTAAACTATGGTAAGTTAATTATTACATATATAAACAACAACTTTCACCGAAATATTACTTTAGAAATTATTTGGAAAAAATAGAAATAAAAATTAAACTTTTTCACCCTGTATCACCGAAACTAAGTATTTTAGGACATAAAGTTGTATGAACTTTTTTACTTATTTTTATCTGCAAAATATGCTGCCATAGTTTCAAGAATATAGTTTGATCACCCTGTATATCAAATCAACTGATCAAACATTTTTCAAATTATTCTTCTTGTGCCATAAATTCTCAACATTTTGATTTTTTATTCTCATTCATTTTAAGACACTAACTACAGTATCATCAGTTTACAGTGCTTTGTCTTTTTAAGGTATATTCAGAACAAAAACATTTAACGAAACGTCCCAGTATATCTTGTTTTACGATATGGGAGCGTCATCTACAACTGCAACCTTAGTCAGTTATCAAACAATTAGGACAAAGGAAAGAGGTTTTGTTGAAACTCACCCTCAAGTATCTATACTTGGTGTTGGTTATGACCGTACATTGGGTGGCCTAGAAATTCAACTCAGATTACGAGATTTTCTGGGAAAGAAGTTTAACGAATTGAAGAAGACCAAAAATGATGTATTTAAGAATCCCAGAGCTGTGGCCAAGCTATTTAAAGAAGCCGGAAGGCTTAAAAATGTGCTTTCTGCGAATGCAGAACATTATGCTCAGATTGAAGGCCTTATCGACGAACAAGATTTTAAACAATTGGTTACAAGACAGGAATTAGAAAACTTAATACCAGATTTATTAGATAGGGTAGCTAGACCTGTGGAGCAGGCCCTGAAAACAGCTCATTTGACTATAGATGTTGTCAGTCAAGTGGTATTAGTAGGAGCAGGTAAAATGTTGAATTTTTTAGTTTATTATATTATTTTTCCTGTAGCAAATAGTAGTAGACTTTATGTTTTATAAGTAAGTAAAAAAAGACTTTTAAGTAAAGTTAAAAAATGATTTTTTAACTTTACCTTAAAATTAAGTTTTTGTTATTGCAAGTTATAAAATTGGGCAATAGTATTTTTCAACGTTTTTTATTACCCTCAGATGCAAAAAAAAGCAACAGAGATTTTTTTTTTACTTTTAGCTCTATGTATATGAATGTTTTAGCAAACTGTATATAAATCTATCAACTTAATTCATAAACTCAGTTTTTTATAAACTTTAGTATTTGGTTCATTATACAGTGCTTATTATACAGAGTGCTTATTACTCGCGGCAAGAGCTTTATGGTTGAAATATGGCAACCTCGGCCCGCTCGTCGATAGACAACGCGACAGGATGAGTCGTCAGAAAACCCTATAAGTGCATACGTTCAGGTAGTGTTGCCATTCTGTTCCCCTATAAGTAACTGTCGAGTTAACAACCTGTATACAGGGTGATTCCTGTAAGTCGGTCATGCTTTCGAGTAATGATAGGGGACGTCGAAATATTAATTTTGATATAGCACACTATGGGTCGGAAATGCCTCTTACGCAAGATACAGGGTGTTAAAGTTTTTGAAAAATTAAAGATATTCTTTAATAGCTTTTTAACAGTTGAAGGTATCGTTATAAAATTTCATTATAGGAATCTACCTAACAGCAGAGTACGTAGATCGCCGAGTAGCGACAGAAACCGTCGGCTCTTTTGATGTGGTGGGACCAAATTTTCTTTCTCTCTCTTTTGACGTGTTTGACAGATAGACTACGTATTTAACTGCTCAACTTATGAAGTGGTCCTATAAACATGGTATACACTGCTCATAATTTGAAGTGGAATTAATTATAAAGTTTTATACATATCTTTTTTGTTTTGTTTTATCCTTATTTCTAAATTTGAATGTATAAAATATCTTACTGCTAATAAATAATTAAAAAAACGATTCGTTGCCTGAGGTATACTTGAAATTAAGTATATAGAGATATTTGATAAATGGCAACAGTGGCAACTTCGCTTCTTCGTATGACAGATAACCTACTTATTTCGCGCAGCCGCAAAGAAAATTGAAAACGGGACTGTCGCTACTCGTCGGTTTAGGTACTCTGCTAACAGAGACACTTTAAATGTGAACTTTAGATGTGTTGCCACTGATAGAAATAAAAACTTCGGAGTTTTTTTATTTACTCGGTTTATTTCCAAGAAAAAATGTCTCTTGCAACTTTCTCCTATCTAACACCATTTTGTCACAATTTAAAAATTAATAGCTTTTTAATGAGAATCTTAAATACAACGAATTATTATAAATATAGGACAGAATTTATAGGGCATTCAATCCCGAAAGAAATTTTCAATCCCGGGATTTCGGGATTATACTTTTTCGATCCCGGGATTGGTCCCGGGATTCACGAAAAAATTAATTACGTTGGAATTATATTATATTTTTTTTCTTTACAAAAATTTATTGAACAAAAAAAACATTAACATAAATTAAACGTCATCCCCATTACAAAACAACATAACATATAAGTTTATTTAAAAAAAAACATAAAAGGAACTAAAATATACATTTTTATTTAATTTACATAACCAATCGAATACAGCATAACACAGGATTACTAAGAGATATTAAAATAACAACTTATGCAGTAACAAAGATGAGGATCTAAACTTGGTTTTTTTGGTTTATGAAAAAATTTCTTAAAAAAAAACAAGCCGATCAAGAGTATTATCACTCAAACTAGATCTTCATCATCTTCAAACTTGATCAAACATTCAGGGTTGTTTATAAGCGCATATTGTACTATCATGAAAGACTTGTGTACAATTTAAATTAAGGAAAAAATGTAATGATGAATCCCGAAAATCCCGGGATTAAAGAAAAGACAATCCCGGGATTTCGGGATTGAAAAAATGTCCGGGATCCCGGGATCTCGAGAAACGGGATCCCGGGATTGAATGCCCTAGACAGAAACACATGTGCATCGTTAGCTCCCTTCATCTTGGGTAACTTTAGTACTTTTTCCTATTAGCTCTAAATAAATTTTTAAAAAATTATAAATATAAACTAGAATTTTTTTTATTGTTAATAATAAAATTCGTTGTTTTAAGGTAGTTATAATATTTCGCATATTTAAGGTTCTCATTAAAAATATATTTATTTTTAAATTGTGACAAAATGGTGTTAGATAGAAGAAAGTTGCAAGAGACATTTTTTCTTGAAAATAAACCGAGTAAATAAAAAACTCCGAAATTTTTATATTTATCAGTGGCGTACTATTTTTTTTTTTGAAAAAATTACCCGATGCGTATCCCATCTACGCCACTGGTTGATACTAAAACCTCTACTTTTTACATTTAAAGTATCTCTGTTAGGTAGATTCCTATATTAAAATTTTATAACGATACCTTCAACTGTTAAAAAACTATTAAAGAATATCTTTAATTTTTCAAAAACTTTAACACCTTGTATCTTGCGTAAGAGGCATTTCCGACCCATAGTGTGCTATATCAAAATTAATATTTCGACGTCCCCTATCATTCCTCGAAAGCATGACCGACTTACAGGAATCACCCTGTATATTTGAAAGGCCTGTTTTTTACCCTAACTTTAAAATTTGTGCCTGAAAAACACCTTGTGCAATAATTTCGTGAGTAACTTTTGCTGAAACATTATTTTCGATCAGAACCATGTCTCCTGAGCATTTTGTTTTTTGGCTCATGTCAACTTGCATTCAACTTGTACTCGGTTAATTTTTAAGAGCGATATGAACTTGCCACCGACAATTTGCAATTTTTTTAACTATCATTACTTTATGATGTTATTTTTTAATCTTCTTAACGAAGCAATATAGGTATGTCAAATGTCAAATACATTATGTTTAGAAATATATAATATAATGCAGATATCTGTAATGATTTTTTTTTGGAAAAACCAACCCCAAGCAAGGGGTGAAACTCTAAGGTAGCATTATTGTAAATTCATCGCTGAATATAAGACAGACTTATAAAGCCATATTAAGACAGACTTATAAAAAGGAGATTTTCATTAGCGTAGAATTTACTAATTTTACGAAAAAAATTGTTCATGGCGAGTAGAAAGGTGTGATATAATAATGAACACAAAAATGTAAAGTAAATGGACTTTCCAAATTGGAAGAAAAAGAAGAGAAATATATCTATAGAATAGATTTATGTATTTAGTAAAAGTAATCCCCAAACAGATTTAAATTAGTAAAACGACACGCAACGATTATGACGAAAAAAAATGTTTACAGAAAAATGGTATATTATAAATAATTTTATGGCATTTGTAATTAGTTAGTCACTCTCGCTGTCTGAAAATTCCTCGTTGACGAGCTGTTCCTTTTCCTCGTTATCTTGTTCTTCAATTCAATAACCAATAAATCTCTAAGTTCATTTTCTACTTTGGTTTTCTTGTAGTTCTTGGTAGAATATGAACTTATGTATGGATCAGAACTTAGCAGTAAACGATGAAAAAAATCCTCGTTTACTTTAAGCGCATTAAACTACCTTGTGAAGCTTTCTCTGTACCTTCTTATATCCTTGTTTTTTTGATTCTTGGGCCTCTCCGGACAATTCTCCGATAGAAACCATTGCATTCTTCACAAAGATTGATCCACGAATGAGAATTTTGTGGACTGTTGGGGGCAAGTATAGTTATTGATGCATATCAATGCGATTGCGTTAACGCGCAGGAACAAATGAATCACGACTGTCTTGCGCAAGGGACAGACAGTGGCAGCTGCACTAACAATTATGATGTTCATAACATTCCAAACAATATTGTAATGTAAATTTTAGCATGTCATCTCGTGTCTCACTAAAGATATTCTACGATTTACTCATACATTTTAGGTAGATGGCATGCTATTAATTAATTAATAAATTACATAATTACTAAGCAGTATTTTGATAATTATAAGTATTCAAAATAAAGAAGAAAGACAACTCTTTCATATCATATATATTAGGATGTGATTACTTACGCTACTTAAGTATGGAAATTCTAAGAAAATGACATTGTTTTATTTATATTGTGCAATTCAAAGAAAATTATTGATTTTTGTCAACTTTGGATATGCAGAAATATTTTTTGGGTATAAATGTCAAATGGGTAACTTGTTCAGAACTTGAGTAACACATATGAAATTATAATACTTTAATTTGAATTTCGTATGAAGAAATTGAATTCTTGAATTTCGATCACGAAATTGCGATTTTTGATCAGTGTGCGTCGGTTCAGACTGTTAATGAGGGTGCAAATATATCGTGTTTAGTGTTTCCATTTTTCTTTATGGACCAAGCGAATATTCACAATTTCGGCCATTTTCAACAAGATCAATAACTTTTGCACAATATTCGACACTAAGAACCATATTTAATCGAACACAACTCTTTATAATAAATTGAGTTTACAAATTAAAGTTGATATATTTATATACAGTTTGTTAAAAATTTCAAGGAAATAGGGCAAATAATAAAAAATATAACATTTTAAATTTGACCAAAAATTTTTCCGTTGCGTTTTTTATTGCATCTGAGTGTTTTTGGTTTGGTTTAAATAGGTACCAGAGTGCCTAAGGTTCAAGAAATACTCCAAAAAACTGTGAATAGAGAATTAGCCAAAAATTTAAACACTGATGAAGCCGCAGCAATGGGCGCGGTTTACAAAGCTGCCGATCTTAGCACGGGTTTCAAAGTCACTAAATTTTTAACTAAAGATGCTGTCCTATTTCCCATCCAAATTACATTCCAAAGAGAAACAGGAGATAGTAAGTTGCAAAACTATGTTTTAACAAGTCATTTGGTAATCTTAACAAATGTCTCTAGGTATAAAAACAGTGAAACGCACTCTATTTGGCCTGATGAATCCGTACCCACAGAAGAAAATAATCACATTCAACAAGCACACCGACGATTTCAGTTTTGTGGCAAACTATGCCGATCTGGATTATCTACCAGCGGAGGAAATTGCTCATGTGGCCATACAGAATATCAGCGAATATCGGCTAAAAGGTGTCGCTGAAGCGCTCAAAAAGAATTTGGGGGAGAACGCGGAAAGTAAGGGAATTAAGGCCCATTTCAGCCTTGACGAGTCTGGTGTTTTGAACATAGTTAATGTAGAATTGGTTGTGGAAAAAAACGTCACTGCTTCCGATGATGAAGGAACGTTATCGAAAATTGGTAAGTGTACATTAAAAAGTAGAAAAATCTAAATTTTGTAACATTCTGAGGATATCACCATTGACACAGGGTTTTTATTAGTAAAAATATGCATATAGGAAAATCGAACGCACGTCGCAATGTTGCCAGTGTTGCCACGGCTACCTTTTTACTTTGACTTTTGACAAGTGTCAAATAAAACTCTTAGTTTTGTCACCGATTTATAACTTCAGTTTTATACACAATACATACAGGGTTATTGACGTAGTATTGTAGCCAAATTATAGTACAGAGTGTCCCAAATAAAGAAAAAATATCAAAGCTGTATTTTTTAAATGGAACATCCTGTACATTATTACATTTTTAGTTTCTACCATTAATAATTTTTTTTTATTATGATTTATTAGCAATCAGAATATTTGCAAGGAAATTCTATGGGCTAATTTGATGACTTGAGAGCAATGACACTCCAGTTAACTTGATGAGGTTTTCTCCAATGAAAAATCCTCCTTAATATTCTTTCAAATCAGATGGCCATTGTCTTTTTAGTCTTCTTTTAGTTTCTACCATTATATAAAGGTAAATTAAACTAAGGTTTACCGCACTTCAATCTTACCGTTTTTGAAATATTTACGACTTTGTAAAATTGCAGTAACAATTTTAACGCTTCAGTTCTTTAGGCGTATTTAAGTTTTAAAATCAAATATTGTTTTGAAGTTTTTCTATTTACTAAATTTTGTGTTGCAATAACAATAATAATAATACTTTATACAGAGTGTCTAAAAATGTATATTAAATACGTACTAGCTTTAAACGGCAATAACTTCGTTAATATAAACACCCTGTATATTTTACATGGATCAAATGAACCATCTAATTGTCTATCAAATTGTTTTATACCATTTTTTACCTTCAAGTTTTTTTTACCTTTATCTCTTCAAGTTTTCTTAGAAAATGCATTTTTTATAATTTAGAATGATATCATTTTAGGTATTTTTTTATAATTTTTATCCATTTTAGCTACATTTAGACATTTTAGGTATTTTTTTTAAAGAAACAAATAATGTACAAAATGTACAGATGCTAAAACCGATAATAAACCCTAATCAAATTTGCCCTTATTTTAGTCCTAGAAACTAAAAATGTAATAATATACAAAGTATTCCATTTAAAAAATACAACTTTGATACAAATGATGATTTTTATTTGTTTCAAACACTCTGTACCTTTTGAAAATTATTTTAAATTGTATCTTATAGTAGTCCTCCAATGATCCCATAACTCACAATTTCTAAAAATCTAATCGTGTGGCTACAATACTGTGTGTCGAATGAGGTGAATAACCCTGTATACAAATATATTTAACATTACATTGTCTATGATTATTATACAAATTCTAAATAAATAAAGTTATTAGCAAGTTTTCTGAATAAAAGTTGAAACATGTAAAGTTCTAATTGGATAATATAAATCTTAAAAAACATAATTTTTTGATAATATGGCAACATAGGTAGTAGATTAAATTTACATGAAAGAAAATCCAGAAAAGATCCAGTGGTTCCAAAAATTTATGCAAAAAGCATTTTTTGTTTAAATTTTCAAAGTAAAATAACTCATTTATTTTGGACTTATGTATTTGAAAAATGGTAAGGAGAAAAAATATTTCTTTTATTTCTGGGACACCGTGTATATATTTTACGCTATTCGATGCTACACAAAATTCTAAACATATTTGATGTGTAATGTTCTATACCTAAGTAACGTTATTTAAAATATTTTCTTTTCTAATGTTATCTCAGATAGCATTTGTAGTACAAAAGGTAATTAAATATTTTTAGCTATAACAATTCTACTGCATATTTGAAATGGTAAGCTCAATTGTTATTTTAGCTTTATTCAGCGTCTATAAAGTGTTTTATTTCAAATAAATCAGCAATTATTGCTTTAAAATACTATTTTTTATTTATATTTTTAGGAAGTACTTTGGGAAAACTGTTTGGAGGCAAAGATAAACCGGTTGAAGAAGAACAACCTTCTGACGAAAAACCGGTACACGAGGTGCACGATGAAGACAAACCAGACCCTCCAAAGACAGAAGAGAAGCAATCCGAAGAAAAAAAACCTACGGAAAATACCACTGATGCGAAAAACACTACAGAACAAGCGCCCAAAGAGAAGAAACCAAAAATCGTTACAATCAAAGAACGCATCCCATCTTCGGAAACCGTTCTTTCCATCGCCGAATTGAGCAAAAAGCAGTTTGGTCAGTCTCTAGAGAAAATCCAACAACTTGACCAAATTGAGCACGATATAAACCGCCGAGCAACCGCCTTGAATAACCTAGAAAGCTTCGTGATTGACGTACAAACGAAACTGTATGAAGATGAGTATCTTCAAGCGGCCGACGAGGAAGAAGTTGAAAAAATTAGACAAGCTTGCAGCGAAGTGTCAGATTGGCTGTATGAAGATGGATCGGACGCAGATGCCGATACTTACGAGAAAAAATTAGATGAAATCAATAGTCTCACCAAACCTCTGTTTTCCAGAGTGTGGGAGCACAAAGAACGGCCTGAAGCTCTCAAAGCCCTACAGTCTTTGTTAAACCATTCCACAACTTTCCTCAAAAAGGCTCAGAATCTAACAGAAACAACTAATCCAGAAAGAGACGTTTTCAAAGATAGTGAAGTTGCAGATCTTGAAAAGGTTATAAAAGACACAATAGATTGGCGGGATAAAGCAGTGAAAGATCAGGAAGCTTTGAAGAAATCTGAAGCTCCAAAATTAACTATAAAGCATATTATGGATAAGATGGGCGCTTTGGATAGGGAAGTGAAGTACTTGATCAATAAACTTAAATATTACAGGCCGAAAAAGGTAGATAAACCGGAAGGGCCGTCGGGAAGTGGCGATAATAGTACGGCTGAAGAAGTGAAAGTTGAGGAGGGAAATGAAAATGTTGAAGAAACAGTAGAAACGCCCGAAGACGGCGAACAGGCTACTGAAAATATAAATCCGTCGAAATCGGACAATGAAAGTGACAAAGACTCTCATTCTGAATTATAACTCAATTTCCTAAATCAATTTTCATAAACAATTTATTCTCTTGCATTACTTTTGCGGTGCGATCATTGAAATATCATTATTGAAAATATTTTTCTATTACTATTAAATAGTTTTCTCACCCAGTGTATTTATTTAGGAAGTTTTTTGTATGTTGATCTGTGATTAAATGGATTAAGTTGTAGATAGGGAATCTTTTTCAGAGTAATTGTCTAATATTTTACCAAGTGCAGCATTTAATTTATTATCAATAAAATGGATAACGATTGTAGGGAAAATGTGTTTTTTTTTTATTCTGGCCAAATTGAAAATCTTTAAGAATCTCTCGCACCCATCAACTTTTTATATTCTATTATTAAAGTATAACTCAATGTCGAAAAATATTCCTATTGGAGATTCTTGCTCCGATATAAATTTTTACAACATACATGGCAACGGTAAGCAGAGGTAAGCACTTTTATAATTTGTCATAATATGTAATAAAAAAGTATGATAATCAAATATCCCAGGTGAGTCTCAAAAGCGGCTCACTCCTATAACTTTTTAATTTTTTTCAGATAAAAAAACCAGATATGGTATGTTAGTATACAGATTGTTAATTTATTCATTACTCGCGGCAGAAGCTTTAGGGTTGAAATATAACAACCTCGGCCCGCTCGTCGATAGACGACGCGACGGGACGAGTTGGCAGAAAAATCAATAATGCATGCGTTCTCAATAGGCAGTGTTGTCATTCTGTTCCCCTATAAGTATAAATGTCGAGTTAACAACCTGTGTATAACCTAAATAAGGATTGATTGACGTATTCAATTGTCACTTATTCATTCACTTCCTGTTTCACGGGAAATGATACACTCGGTATTTTTTAACTCCATTAGATAGAAAATGAAACTCTGAATAGAATGACATATTATATGTCAACTTTTGACATTTTCGCATATGGTTTATTTCAAATTGTAACATGCGGTTCATAACGACAATTCGACTCAAAATACCAAGTGTCTGGTACTAAATTATTCGTAAAAAAATGCTTTTTCCAAATATGCTAATCAGCCATTCTTGTTCCATTTGAAAAAATTGAGATGATTAAAAATACGATTAGGGCATCTTTTATCCAGTCAGCACAAGATATGAAAAACATTAGACGATCAAATCTATTTTCCAAGACTTCTTGATTACAAATTAGTGTTTTTAACACAGCCATATCACTCTAGATTGAAATTTAAAATACGATTTTTTTTAAACGAAAATGTCAAAAGTTAACATATGATATGTCATTCTATTCAGATGGTCATTTTCTATCGAATAAAGTAAAAAAAATACTGAGGGTGCCATTTAGAAATCAAAATATGTATATAGTCGTTTCCGATGAAAGAGGAAGTGACCAAAAAAATTGAATACGGCAATCAATCCTAATTTATGTCATATACTAATATACTAAATCTCGTTTTTTTATTGAAAAAAATAGAATAGTTATAGGGGTGAGCCACTTTTGAGACGCACCCGGTATATTTTGACACTAAAGATATTTTATAAACGGACCGCTAAAAGAGCCACACTTACACACTCTTATACAGGTTGTTAATTTGTTTATTACTCGCGGCAAGAGCTTTATGGTTAAAATATGGCAACCTCGGTCCGCTAGAAAACCCTATAAGTGCACGCGTTCTCAATAGGCAGTGTTGCCATTCTGTTCCCCTATAAGTAACTGTTGAGTTAACAACCTGTATAAATTCTAGCTAAGGATGAACATAAAAACAAAAATGTTGGTTCTTTAAAGAATATTTATTATCCTCTACCATCATACATCTCTATAGTTCTACCAATTAAAATTATATGATAAAGAATTAGCACATCCTTAACCTAATATAATTATCACAAAAAGTCCCTCCAGACTTTATACAGTAATACCATTCAACGGTTTAGAACTAACAAGTGATTTTAATACCATGGAAAAAACTTTTTTTTATTAAGTATTTGAGTATCACATTGCTTTAAAGCACATATTTTTATTTCGTGTGTGGAAAAATCACCAAAAAATAATTAGTTGAACACCCAGGTATAGGCTAGTTAATATTAAATACTATTGCTTAATATATAATTCCATCAAAATCTAAAGGCGAGAAATCTTTTTCATGTGATTACATTAGTATACTATCTACTGTAACTAACGTATAAATGTTTACAATCTGTCTGACTAAACAAAGAACTATTTCGACAAATGACATCTAAAAACACTGTTAAAAACATAGAAAAACACTCTTACTTTTGAAGTAAAATAACAGACGACATGTATGTCACTGACATTTCTTTTTTCCGATTGGGCACGCTAAAATTTGTAATTTTAATTTACATGTAAATTGTTTTATTTACCATTTTTTGTCGTCTGTCTTCCCTGACTCCTTGGACAAACTTTATTAAATCAATAAAAAAATAGTCAGTCATAGTGAAGGTAAAAAGACTGACATATTCAATATGGGACAAAGGTTTAAAGATATTCGCCACTTCAATCTTAAGCTGGATTTATAAACTCGGGAGTTGGCATTGGCGTTCAGTTGCAGTTGGATGTTCGCGGTAGTTGAGGTTCAACATTTTTGCATTTATAAACAGTCAGTTTCAGGTGTGGGTTAGGTTTTGAGTTGTGAACATTTCTAACGTTTTTCTTTGATTTAAAAATACTTTTGATATATTTTTCAAAGTTCATACATAATAATCCAAGATTGCGCAAAATATAAACATTATATAAACAGAAATAATGAAACAACAATAAGGGTCATTTGTCATTTTCCACTGCATCTCTATTCTGTGCTTCACGTGACCGACAGGCGCCTACTCATTGGCCAACTGACGAATGCCGCAAACTGCCGACTTAAATATTGATCGACTTCTATTGACATCTCTAAACTTCGCTGAACGTAAAACGAACTGCCAACTTTTCGACCACTTGACTTTATAAATGCGCTCATTCATTTCATAGGGTTGAACATTTTAAACGTCAACTGAACTTAACTGCCGAGTTTATAAATCCAACTTGATGGTTGTATAGTCTATATTTTCTTATATAATTTGTATTTTCAAATCAAACCTGGAAGATAATTAAATATTTATGATACTATTCGTATAGTAAATTTAAAATGTACAGGGTGAGTCTTAAATCAATGCAAATATTTTCAAGGCTGGTAGATCTTGATAAAAGAAACATATTTGCTATCTACCGTTTTTCAAATAAATCGAAAATAACAAAGTTATTTAAGTTTGAAATTGATATGTTTTTAAAAAGTTTTGCCACCAGATTTTTTATGTTTTTGGCATCCCTTTTAGTGTCGTAACCATAGAGTAAAGCCGTAATCATGGAAATATCAGGGTGCATCCACACCATCATAGGAAAAGCAGAATGGCAGATCGGTCTCCAGCAATTTTATTGGTTAGAATTTTTGAGAGATGAATTTTCGAAAAATTTCTGCCAATATAATTGCTGGAGAACGATACTGCTTTTCCTTAAAAGAAAATACACGATTTTCAACATCTTTTTTAGTAAAAAAAAACTCATAGACGTGTTTCTGGGGTCGAAATATACCACCCCTAAAAATATTTGCACTTATTTAAGACTCACCCTAAATATTTTGAAAACGAAATAGTCCATCCAACATAATTATATATTTTATCATATGGTGATTTAATTTCATATTTTCACTCATAAAAAATATAAAAATATTGTTATTGTTATTAAAGATTACGATTTTATTGAAAGATAAAACCTGGATGTGATAAACATCATATATCAAAAAGTTTTATTATAAGATGGTTTTGAATTCGACAGTTAAGAAAATTTAATAATGAAATTTTTCATCACAATATCTTTTAGTCCATTATCCACAGAACACTTGACTACACTCTACATTTAATTTATATTTTACAGTCTACTTTTCCGAAATTCCACACACAGCATCTTAATAATTTTGCAGCTGATGACAGAAAAATCAATTAAATCCAACGAGTTAAACACTTTTGGTGTTTAGGCAATGGAAATCCATTAGTATAACAGAAATGACTATAAAATACGATAAATAAAAGAAAAGACATAAATCACAAATCAAACGGGTTTCTTAAATGAATCTCATCATCATGCTAAAGTATATTCACTTAGATTCACAATTATTATTTGATTACAAATTAAGATAATTCAAAAAGATCAGAAGTAATTGTAAACTAGATCGTTTATAATTATGAAGTTATTTAAAACGAATACAGTTATAAGCGATATTAAATAAATGTTCTAAAATAAAAAAAAAAACGTTACAGTGACATTACAGATCGTCCAAATGAATTTGTGATAGTAGCCGTATGATGAGCCTCAATCAAAAATTTATGATTTTTGTAAACTATACATTTCCCTTCCTTATGTTATTATTATTTTATTTAAACTAAGCTAATACAACCTTACATCGACATTTCATCATGAAATTGAAGAACAAAATAATAAAACTACATGGCAGTTTTAAGTAAAATATATCTTTTAAAAGCTACAACGTCTATTAGACGTTTGATTATCACATAAATTTTAAATATAATAATCAGGCTTGGCCCAATTTTCCTTTTTTTAAAGCAAATTTATAAATAAATGTTAGTTACTTTACTGTGATTTTCACTCACAACATTAAATATGTTTGAACTACAGAAACAAGAAATCAAGAGTCAATCTTATACTATTATTCCAATTTTATACAGGGTGTTTCAAAAAGCACGTGCCATTTTTCGTGGAGAGATTCCTCAGATAAGAATAAGGTTTATTTTTTATATCAACATAAGTCCGATTCTGCTTTATTTCGTAGCTACAGGACGTTAAATTCTTAATTTTTATTTTTTTTTCGTTTTATTATAATTTTTTTCCAAGTGGTTTTAGTTATTTTAATGAAATTTTGAGAGTAAAGTGTTACAATTACGATATTTAGTATAAGTGTAAGTTAGTTAGTATAAGTGTTACAATTACGATATTTTAATGCTGGAATACTGTTCTAAAAAATGGAATATATTTCTAAAAAAAACATGTGCGTTTGCGTTGCAACTAACATTTTTTCTCTTATTTGCAAAATTGGATAGGCTATTTAAGTCCAATTAAAAGTTGTATTTTGATATTTTGTGGATTTCGATCTCCTTGATGAGAAATAACGTAATTTTATTAATCTCAATTAATAAAATTAAAAATAAAATTAATTATTTATTTTATATAATTTATTATTAAATTTTATTAAAATTTATAACGCTGATGTTCAGTGGTAGCTGTGTTGCTACAAAAAGAAAATTCAAAAACAATAATGGTATTTAATATAAATACACCAGACATATTTTTTAAGGTCTGGTGTAAGTTTTAACATCCTGTAACTTTAAAACTATGCATTTCCGCACACTTGTTTATAGAAATTTTTTTTTTATATTTTGTGATGAGGAATCAATGAGTACTTCTTTAATACTTTGGCCATTTAATTACATTAAAAAATTTGATAGATTGTTGGTAGACTTGGATTAAGCCAAATTAATAAAATATCTCATCAAGGAGACCGAAATTAACAAAATATCAAGAAACAACTTTTAATCGGCATTAAACGGTCTACACAATTTTGCTAATAAGAGAAAAAAGTCAGTGGCGCACATTATTGATAATTATTGCAGTGATAACCTATACGCACGTCTGGTGAATATGTCGACAGTTTTTAGCATTAAAATATGTCGAATTTATAGTAACTTTTACCCTTACAATTTCATTCGAATCGCTAAAAGCACTTTTAAGAAAATTATAATATATCGAAAAAAAATTAAGACTGTAGCTACGAAATAAAGCAGAATCGGACCTATGTTGAAAATTAAATCTTATTCTTACGTGAGGAATCTCCCCACGAGAGATGGCATGTTTTATGAAACACCCTGTATACGAGTATATCTCCTATTAATAAAAATGTTCCTGTTTCCACGTTTAAACATAATCACATTCTCCTATTTCTAATACAAAGGTTAGAAAAATATCGTTATGTATTTATTAGTGAATGACATAATAATGAAAGAAATTATAATTAGATTAGTAGTGGTGTTAAGTTTTACACTTTTTAAGCTGCTTATTATTCCTAGCTAGAGGTTGTACATTGCCCTCTCTTCTTTTTCTGTAATCCTATTAAACATACGTTTCGTATTTAAAATTATGAAAAAACAAATATCACAAAGACTACGGTATTTTTTAAAAACCACCATAGCCGAAAATAGATTTGAAATTTTTTTATTTTTTTTCAAAAATATTTTCGCATGCGTGTATGTATAATGATCCTTGTACATGTAATCCTGTACAGGATGTTTAGATATATTATTAAGTAAGTAGTATATAAATATAATCCAAATATTTACTTAGTTTCGCTGACGGTTCTCCGTTTACACTCGATTTTGCAGATTATCAGTATTTCGTCACCAGACCTAATATTGTAGCTGTACAGTTGTTTTGAAGGATACCTCATTTCCTCTGGACCCTGAAATATTAATATAGTATTTTATTCGTGTCAAGATTCATGGAAAACAGGGCAAAAATAAGTTTTAGCAATGCAAAACATATAATAAAAAATAGCTCTAAACAAAAAATAAGATATGCTTTTCTAATCCAATCAAATTAGTGGTGGTTATTTTAGATAACAGTTGAAACAGTTACTCTTATTTATATACATATAGCAGCTTAAAAACAACTAAAAGAGAATACGCATTGTCCAAATTGTAGTAAAATTATAAATAATGTACTCAAAATATAAAATTTATAAAGAAATCCAACCAAATGTTTTAATTTTTAGCATATGTTTATTATATTATTAATAATTAATAATTATTAAAAAAATCAATATTAATTTTCAAACAATAATTAGCTTAGACAGTCTTTATTTATAGAAGTAGCTGAAAAGCCCTTAATATTTCTAATCTATTCTAGTGATTAAATTATAATTCATTTAATCACTAAATTTCTAATCACCATTCACAATTTCGATATATATAAAAGCGATATAACTGTTATAAAATAACAGATAGTTAAATAATAACCCATCTCTAAATCAAATATAAATAAATGTCCATGTATCTCTAGGTGTTAGCAATGTATCGGTATATTATTTGCAATGTATAGTCATCGCTTCAGGTTACCGTTAACATAAGTGTAAATAGCTTACCTGCATGTCCCTCAGGTCTTGATCGACGTAAAACAGTCGCATTTTGGCAGCTGAAAAGCCGGCAAAGGCTTCCAATTTCGATTTGAGATCGCTGACTGTGCGGTAGACGTCCACCGACCTAACTTCGCTGTTAGATCCACAAGTGAATGTCACCCTCACCCTTTTTTCTGGTCTGAGATCGACGTTTACCAATGGGTCTAACTTTCCATGGATCTGAACCAACTCGAAATATCTTAAATACAAAAAACAACAAAATATAAATCAAATACCAAACAATTTGCAAAATTAAAGTAAAATATGACATTACATATAAGAATGCACACTATAGAGCTATATCGCTGCTGTTTACAGTGGTAGTGGTTTAAAAACCGCCACACACCTATTTGGCATCCAACATGGGGCGTGTGTTAACACAAGATGTGTGTTGTATAGCTTCTAGCCTCCTTAGTTCCTGAAATACAGGGCGAATTTATGATGCGCAGTAATGAACAGATACTGTTTGCAGTGGTAGTGGTTTAAAAAACGCCACACACCTATTTGGCGTCCAACGTGGGGCGCCAAATAAGTGGTAGTAATTAAAAAAACGCTACACAATGATGCGATTTTCACATTACTTTGCTACTTTTTTATGAAACTAAATATGCAAACATATGTGTTGTCTTAGCCTCCTTAGTTCCTGAAATACAGGGCGAATTTGTGATGCGCAGTAATGAACAGATGTTGAATACAGCAACGTTGAAAACACAACGGCAGCCAGACGGTCCAACATCCACTCTGTTCAGGAGCATAGCAAAAGATATATTAAAGAAACAGCTTTCTTAAAATTCACTCTCGAAAATGTTGTTAGCTCTCGATTATAAATAAAACAGCGAAATCGTTATGGAAATAAAAATATAAAATGACACTAGTCACGTAAATGACACTAAGCAAATCGTAATAAAATTAATATCGTATCAACGATGCATGAAAAACAAGCTTTACGACCGAGAAAAAGGAATGATTTTCCTTTATTTAGGGATGGAGAACTAACCTCGGTAAAAGCGTCTCAGATACTGGGTTTTATCATAGTCCTGAGACTGTCTGATCAACTTATAACTCAAGATAAGGGAGACACAATGGATCTAAAAGATCGCGGTGATTAACTCCCCACTCCCATACAATCTATAACCTACAAATAGTGCTTAATATTATTTGTTTATGAAATTAGTACCTTTCTGGACGGTCACTTTCCGGTTTGTCCATGTAATATCTGATAAATGCCCTCTCTGCATCTTCTCGTTCTTCCGAAGTGATCTCGCCACCACCATTCAGTGTCTGGACATTTGGCAACCTGGCAATCAGCAGCTGACGTCTTTCGTGTTCGGTGTACTCGTTGCTTTCCCACAAAGGACAGCCCTTAAATAAACATATAATTATATTAAATGCCTTACTATCTACAGGATGTTTCAAAAAACATGTGCCATCTCTCGTGGGGAGATTCCTGACGTAAAAATAAGATTTATTTTTTATATCAACATAGGTCCGATTCTGCTTTGTTTCACAAATTTCACAAAAAAAAATCTACTTTGTTAGCTACAGGGTGTTAAAGGTCTTAATATTTTTTCGATTTATTATAATTTTCTTCCAAGTACTTTTACAATTTTGAGGGTAAAAGTTACTATAAATGCGACATATTTTAAAGCTAAAAAAGTGTTGACATATTCACCAGGGACGTGCATATGGGATATCACTGGAATATTTTTCTAAAATAAAGAATGTAGAGCCACTGTAATGTAAAGCCACTAACTTTTTTTCTCTTGTTAGCGAAATTGTGTAAACAGTTTATGCCGATTAAATGTTGTGTCTTGATATCTTGTCGATTTCGGCCTCATTGAAGAGATTAACGCATTTTTATTAATTTGCCTTGATCCAAATCTAATAGCAACAATTAAAAATGTTTAATATCATTAACTTGCGAAAGTTTTAAATAAGAACTCATTGATTCCTTATCAAAAAATATGAAAAAAGGTTCTTATAAACATGGGTATGGAAATGCATAGTTTTAGAGTTACAGGATATTAACACTTTTTAAAATTAGGTATTTTGTAATTATCTTAAATACCATTATTTTTTATTTTAAATTTCTATAGGTTGGACTAATTAATAGTAATAATAACTCATAGTAATAATATTTAAATAATAAATTATGTAAAATATATAATTTATTAATTTTATTTTTCTTTTAATTTTACTAATTAATGATTAATAAAATTGCATTTATCTTAGTCTTTATTAGTTATAAAATAACAAGAGATAACTTTTAATTGACATTAAACGGCATACACAATTTTAATTTCAAAAGAAAAAAGTCAGTGGCGCACATGTTTTTTTTTGAAAAATATTCCAGTGATACCCATATGCACGTCCCTGATGAATTTATCGACAATTTTTTAGCATTAAAATATGTACCACATAGTAACTTTTATCCTCAAAATTTAATTCGAATCACCAAAAGTACTTAGAAGAAAATTATAATAAATCAAAATATTATTAAGACTTTAACACCCTGTAGCTACTAAACAAAGCAGAATCAGTGTGCTGTGCTGATCTGAAATTTAAATAAATCTTATTTTTACGTGAAAAATCTCCCCACTAGAGATGGCACATGTTTTTTTAAACACCCTGTATATGTATGCTACTACATATTATTTTTTTTAAGTATTAAGACTACACATATTTCTTAGAGTCTTAAATAATTTTGTTTCCAATGCCTCGTTTTTAATTCTATTCTTTTCAATTTGTCTCTGACTTAATCTTTAATCAAAGACATCGGAGATAAATTACCTTTAAGTTGTTTTAAGTTCTACTGTATAAGTTTGTGATATTTTCACATAAAATATTAAAGAAAACCAAGAACGCATAAATAATACCTTTTATAACTACTTAAAAAGGAAATTGGAATATGCGGGAAGGGCAATAACAATTTATATTCAAATTCAAACTGGTTTAATATTTACAATTGATAAGTGAAAGTGAATTGATGCAGTATGAGTACATATCTAAACAGATACGAATATGTAATTAAAAATACTAAATATACATAATATGTAAATTATATGATAAGTAAAAAAATTGTGTTTTAAATTTACTAAATTAGAGGATATGTAAAATATTCTTTTGCAATTTAAACACCTTTCATAAAACAGGTTTGTTTGAAATTGTCACCGTGTGACCTCATAACAAGACCACTCGCCATTAGCAACAAACTTGCAATAAAAAGAGATTTATTTCAACAATGTAATTGACCGAAACAACTCGGATGAAAACAAATTGTCGTGTAAACAATAGAACTGTTTTAGTAGGGCACAACTGATGATTAATAAACTGGTGGATATTATGGAGAGGTCATATTTTTTTCTATTTGCATAATTTTCACCTCGACGTATATAGAGATACTTTTTTTTAGTAAATTTATATTTTATTATTTAAAACTTATCACTAACATATGGGGTGCGTCTCAAAAGTGGCTCACCCCTATAACTTTTTTATTTTCTCAGATGAAAAAACGAGACTTGGTATGTTAGTATATGACAAAAATTCGGACTGATTGGCGGTACATATTCAATTGTTTTTGGTCACTTCCAGTTTCACCGAAAATGACTACAACTTTTGATTTTTAAATGACACCCTCGGAATTTTTTACTTTATTCAACAGCAAAGGACATTCTGAATAGAATGACATATCATATGTCAACCTTTGACATTTTCGCTTTAAGAAAAATCGTATTTTAAATTTCAATCTAGGGTGCCATGGTTGTGTTAAAAACATTAATTTTTATTCAAGGAGCCTTAGAAAATAGATTTGATCGTCTAATGTTTTTCGTGTCTTGTCCATTGGCGTAACTACAGGTGTGCCCGGGGGTGCCCCCCCCATGTACTGCTGGCACCCCCAGAGAAATCCTGAATTATGACTCTTGGCTACGTATTAATTTTCATTTGCTTGTGATGTAGTAAAAATGACGTTTTCTAGTTTGGTTTGGTTAATATTATTTTGTTGTGTTCAAAAAATGTGTTAATTTTTATTTTTTTTTAGAAAATTTGTAGGTATTTAAGTAATCTACGGGAACACGGTCTATATTATCTTTTGATTTATATTTATTTATACTTTTATATTTATATATTGATAACCACGTCTATGAAATTTATTGATAGAGAAATTCATGTAAACGTTTTATTCAAAAAATGTGTTTTTTAAAATTATTTTTCATTTTTAAAAAAATAAAAGCCCTAGGCCCCCCTGGGCCCTACCCCAGGCCCACCCCAGGACCCCCGGAACCCACTGAAATTAATAATAGTAAATACACAAACACAAAAGTCAATGATAAACAAACGAACACGATTTATTTAATCATGCGAAAATTTATAGTCGTAATAAATGTCAAGTTAATAAAAATTGAGCTACTCATCTGCATTGTCTGTAAATCTGATACGAAACGTTAATCTCTTTGTAATGTATAAACAGTTCCCTCCTCTCCAAAAATAAACAGATCCCGAGACGCAGTATCTGATTATTTGCGTCTTTCTTAATAAATTTTAGAAAAAATCCAACGAACTTTCTAAGATGTATATAACTACGCCTTCGCAATTAATTAACCTTTAAAGTATGCGAAAAGAATCAGTAATTTTTACACTTATTGTATGTGGGAATAAAGACAATAATTTCCATTTTTTTCGATAGACTCATTTCTTATTCTTTTATATTTTTATTAAAACCATTGACAAACCTTGATATTTTCAAATATTATCTGTATTAGTAGGGGTACTGACAAATTTGGCATCGCTATAAACTACTAAGCAGCCTTGTATACAGGGTGTCCCAATATTCCGTGGACATAGAATTACTACGTATTTTTGGAATAAAAATAAGTTCATTGAACAGAACTTACCTCTATACAAAAGTGCTTCGTTTGTCCGTTAGAGGGCATTAATCTTTCAAAAAGAACGAGATTTGGGGTGCTTATGTTTTGCTAAGCGCTTTAACATTTGACTTCTACAAAAAAAAGAAAAATTACGGGAATGGTGAAAACTAACAAAACTTTTAAAGTCTGATGCCCTCTAACAGACAAACGAAGCACTTTTGTATAAAGGTAAATGGGCTCTTTCATTATATTTTGGAATTCGCATAATTGAATATACCTTGATATACCTCAATTGAATAAAGCAATTAATTCTATAATTTTCTGCTATCTCATCACTTTCGAAAAACTTGCAAGTCGTTCTTAAGAAAATAAATAAAAACAGAAAAACCCAGAATAAAAATCCGCACTTTATTTCTAATACGTCACACCTGGCATGTTGAAAGGCGGCAACACCGCCGGGCCACCATGCTGACGTTAACCATTTGGGCGTCAACTTTAGGAAGGTTATCAGATGACGCCTTTTCGAATCCAGGTTCTGGTACGACCATGATAGAACAAATTATCAAAAAATAACAATTTAAAACTTAAAATTTGATTACAAGCTTTCACAAACGGAGTAAACAAAAAATTTAACCTCAAATTTATTATTCAACATGCACGTCAAATTAAATCGCAATGTTGCCAGTTGTTGGCTGGCGCACGAGCACGGTTCTGCAATGTTTGAGATTGATTGGGCGTATTTTTCACACGTCATCAATTGGCACTTTAAAATTATTTCAAATTAAAGCAATTTTGAGGGCATATAAAAAAATTATTCAATGTCATGGAACTTTTTTTTTGGATAAATATACTGAAAATAGCCTTCTTGTTCAGATTTGGTCTTTGAATTGGGTATTTTATTTTTTGTGAAAGAGCCCATTGCACTGTGTCCATTGTACTTATTTTCACTCCAAAATACGTAGTAATTCTATGTATATACGGAATATTGAGACATTCTCTATACTTAAATACAGGGTTAATCTTAAGTACTCCCTTTACCTATTTTAAAAATGCAGTTAAAACATTTTTAAGTCATTTTCGATAAGTTTTAACAACATAATATAGACTAATTTCATAATTTGTTGGTAAGTTAGCCTAGTTTGTTAATTACAGTAATTATTATCTTATGTGTTAGGAATCTATAACTCAAACAAAAAAAAATATACTAACGTTAAAAGTTATTGAAAAAAGAGATGGTGGTATATGAATAAATAATTATTCTAGATGGCTATAGTTCTTATCAAGTAACACTTCCCAATAATAATCAAATCAAAGCTTCTATTTTTTAATTTGTATCGTAAAAACAAGTTGGAGTGAACACAGATGTAGACTAAATTAAAAATATTTAATAGAAAAACAACTGTCAAAAATATATGTATAGTCTAAACGTCAAATCTAGTGCTTACCACAGCCACTTTGCCATAAAGAGAAGATATGTGGCTATCTATTTCAAAAATTAAATTGTTCGAATGTCATATAATAATGGCCTTGCTGTCATGGAATTGAGCGATTAAAAAATTATCATAAATCATTTTTTTCAAGTGGAAACCCCCTTTTTTATTTCACTAGTGAAAATGTTTTTAATTCGTTACTTTTTGACTATACATGTTCCTATACCTAAAATAAATCGTTTTTAAGTTATTTAAGATTTAGTTTTAAAGCGTATATTTTTCTTGATTTTAACGAGTAGCCTATGACTTTAAACGTCAAGTGATGTAAAACAATAGATTTGACCATCTCATATTCTGTTAGCTGATCCAATGATCATCCAGCAATTCTATTGGCTGGTTTTTCACATAATGAATTTTTCGAAAATTCATTATGTCAAAAATTTCTTCTGTCAAATTCATCTGCCAATAGAATTGCTGGAAATCGATTGAAGGTCGTTACGCCGATACGCCGCCGTTCCGCTTTTTCTAGGATGATGTGGATGCACCCTGACTGTTTGATACTTAATGTCACAGGAAGCTAGATAAAATCAAGAAAAATATCCGTTTTCAAACTAAATCTTAAATAACTTAAAAACGATTTATATTAGGTATAGGAACATGTTTAGTTAAAAAGCAACGAATTGAAAAACATTTTCACCAGTGAAATAAAAAAAGTGGGTTTCCATTTATTTGAAAAAAATGATTTATGATAATTTTTTAATCGCTCAATTCCATGACAGCTCCCGCCATTATTAAATGACATTTGAACAAATTTAATTTTTGAAATAGATAGCTATATGTCTTCTCTTTATGACACAGTAGCTGTGATAATCACTAAATTTGATTTTTAGGTTATACAAATTTTTTTGACAGGTAGTTCTTTTCGTCCAAAAATTTTAAATATGTTTTTTCTCAAAAACGGTTAATGTTTATTAGGTATAGAGTGTTTAATAAAAATATTCATAGAATTTTACAGATAATTTAAGTATGTAATAAAAAATGGAGGCACCTATTTAAAATAAGAAAGTTGCTATCAACTTTCAGTATTTCCGGAAGTGCCGCCATATTGAAAATATTTTTAATCGATAGATCTCGTTGTAAAACAATAATGTGCAAAAAATGTCCAATCTAGATATTGTGATTGTCTATAGAAACTTCTAATGCACGCTCAGCCTGGGACACCCTGTATATATGGTTCTATCATACCTGTACTCGTACACACTGCAGCGCTGGAAACTTTGACAGCCTCTCTATATCGTCCCACGTGGATAGCATCGTCGAGTTTAAATTAAGGATTTTGAGCGACTTGAAGGCATCGTAAGGGGCAGGAGTAGAGTCAGTTTCGCGTTCTTCGCAGTTCTTGTTGGAACATTCCCGGCAGGGATGTTCCACGTCCAACGATTTGATTGGACATTCGGCCAATACCAACGATTCCAAATTCGGAAAAGCATAACCTAGAAAATTCACTTAACTTAAAACTTTCATAATGGGTGGCAGTCTATATTATTAGAATAAGCAAACTGCTATTATACATGGTGGCGCCTCTCATACGCCGCGGAGGCTCCAAAGAGAACGAGTTTGTATTGAAATGAAATTTTGTGAGCATATGTAGGTTAATTCAGGGCACTTTTTAAAATTATAGAAAGTTCTACAGGGCGTCCCCAAAAAAAGTTACATATCAAAGTTGTGTTTTTTTTAATGGAACACCCTATATATTAATTGATTTTCGGATTCTAGGAGAAAAATAAAGGTGAGTTTTATAAGAGAAGTATATGACTAAAATGTACGGTTTTTGACATATTTAACATTTTCTAGAAATAAGGAACAATTTTTAAATTACAATAAAAGCTACCCATATTGGAATTTACCCGGTGTAGCCTAATATGTAGTTAAACTAATTATTCTACTTTAAATCAAATTAAAACTTGATCCAAAAAGTTATACAGGGTGAGACAAAATTAATATTGAACATTGGTCAACTTTAAAAGCATGTTACTCTCTTATTTTAAATGGAACACCCAGTGTATTATTCCGATATTTAATGGAGAATTCCTGTCTCTTCAAAATACTATTAAGGTTGCCTACCCCTAAAACAAAGATTTTCCTAGATATTTTCATTTACATGATTTGATCTGAGTAGATCTTTATTATTTGATAAAACCTAGGTGGCTGTGATATGTCTGACGTTAGTTCAACATAGCTGTCTAGTTCAACTTTAATAACTAGTTATAATTTTTTGTCAGTTAAAACAAAAAAAAATTCTCAGTAATTTGCCGAAAATGCAAACTTATCCTACATCAGAGAGAATTGATATTAGTTGGTGAATGCAGTGTGCATTCACCAATTAATATAATAGTTAAATGCTCCTGATTTTTTAATATTCTGGTTTTTTTTTATGGGGATATGTGTTAAAGACAGTGTTTAAAAAACTCGACCAACTAGTGTCGACAGCATGAGATAAATTATTGTAGCTGCTTTTTCAGGTAGAACTCCACATATGCCTTTTAAAATGAAAAGATCCTTTTGAAAAGACAATTATTTTATGCAGTTAACAGGAAAGGAAGCATTTTGAGCATCTAATTTCATCCAGCTAATTTTTGTCGCATAATTATAGGTTTATATCTAGTTTTAATTCTGTAATAATTAAAATATGTTTTAAACGTGTATTTTTTTATTACCCTTGAGTATTTTACTCCACAATCTTTAATTTTTGATAAATTAATAAAAGGTATATCGCACAGCCACTTAGATTTTTTCAAATAATAAAGATTTACTGACGCAAAATCATAAAAATTAAAATATCTGGGAAAATCTTTGTCTGACGGGTAGGCAACCTTAATAATATTTTGAAGATATATAAAAAAATATACTGGGTGTTCCATTTAAAATAAAGGAGTAGCTTGCTTTTAAAAGTACTAATGTTCCATATTAATTTTGTCTCACCCTGTATAACTGTTCGGGTTAAATTTCAATTTGGTTTAACATACAATGGTTACTATAATTAAATATCAGGCTATACAAGGTCAACTAAAATTTAGGTAGCTGTTATCGAAATTTAAAATTTACTCTTTATTTTCACAAAATGTGAAATATGTCAAAATCCTTAGATTTTAGGTATATACTTCTTCAATAAAACTCACCTTTATTTTTTTCCTAGAATCCGAAAATCAATTAATATATAGGGTGTTCCATTAGAAAAAACACAACTTTGATGTGTAACTTTTTTTGGGGACACCCTGTATAATTCTATATATTTTTATGAAATGCTTTCAGTTAACCTACATACATATGCTGCCAAAATTTCATTTCGATATAAACTACCGTTCTCCTTGGAGCTTCCGCGGCGTATGAGAGACGCCACCCTGTATTTTGATTTCTAGTGTAAAACTAGTACCTGTAACTGTTATCTAAACGGGTAACAGACATGAATAAAACTGTTATTTCTAAATAACAATTCTAATTGTTGCAGTTATTTATGAACAACGGTAGCAGTTCCTCAGATTAATATTAAAACTTAAATAGATCGATGACATTACGTGGCCCTAAGCTTTGGCAGTTTTTGTTGTAGAGCTGAAATTAGGCTGGGTTATGGACATTATGACTTTCGCATTTTTCTTCTTTTTGTTAGACAGTTATAAGTCAATAATATATTAAAATAAATTATCTCATAATAAGAATAAATATTACAGATATTATCGTAAAAGCAATAAAAAACAGAAACCTAATAATAATTAAAAGCAGTTCAAACTGTTATTTAAAAATAAAACTTTAAAAAGACCAGTTTCTTCTGAACTTCTACTCTAGATCAGAGTACTTTTGAACTAAAGAATTCTTACAACGTACGTCCGACTGAGTTTTTGGTTTAAATGAATAATTGTGATGTGATACTTTAAGCTTAAAAAATTTACTAGCAGACCTTGCAGTCGGGCATTTAACCTCTTTTAGTGCGAAGTGTACAAGATAGATTAATAGAGGTTGTAGAAAACTCATCGCTACCTTATTAGAATATTTTGAACGGGAAACCGGTAGTAAGTAAGGAGGTAAGTTTTGTTGATGTAAATAATAGCTGTTTATATATTTATAATTCATTTATTTTTGTTTCCTGAATTATTTTGATAAAAGAAAATATGTCAAAGTGGCCAACGATGTGCCGGTGAAGCTTAATCACGTTTATTTGGTATGGTTTGGTTTAAAAAAAAATGGTTAAATTTTTTCTAATTCTTTTTTTCAACGGTTTGACCTTTTGTTGTAATGGCAACAAATAACAGAAACCAGTTATTTTAGTCAGTTATTTATAAACACAAGCAGTTCCAACTGTTATTTAGAAATAACATTTTAATTAGAAATAACAATTTTTTTGTACACGAAATGAGCATTACGGAACAATTTAAATTCTAAACCAAAAAATTTTTAAACCGTACAAAAAAGTTTTTTAGTGTTGTATTATATTTACAATAAAACATGAAATTAAATAACATATTATCTAATAACCTTCTATCAAACATTGCATTTTGTTGTTGGTAAATCTCACCTAATTTACAAACTTCTTTCCAATCCTGTATGGGGTTACCCGTAAAATGTAAAATCTTTATAACTTTGTGCTTGTGTTTGAGCTTGTAGATTCGGCAATTGCAATTGTCGTTCTTGTTTTCCGAACATGCGCAGGTGCTTTCCGTCTCGTCTCTATGCAACTCGACGTTGTTGTAGTCGTTGAGACTGAGATGCAGCTCTTCCAGGCAGGGCAAATGGTCCAGGATTTCTTGCACGCTGTCCCAATTCACGTAGGTCGAGTTTAAGACTAAACTTCGCAGTTCCTCCCACTTTTTTCCTTTGTCTAAGCTAACTTCGAGTGGTTTCGAGAGCACGTTAAAGCTGAGGTTAACAAATTTAAGGCGGGGCATCTGTTCCAATATTCCGAAAACCTGAAAAAGTGTGAAAAGTATTTTTAGGTTATGATATTTTTATCCAATGGTAACGAAAATCTCTTGTAACAAATTATCTCGAGTTTATAAATGGTTAAATGTTATAAAATACCTCGTGCCAATGATTCAATTTGTTCTTAGCTAGGTCTAGTTCTTCTACGTTGGAGCATTTTGCTACCAGTGCTTCACGTTCTCCAGCTGTAGCTATGTCGCAGTCGTTGAGTACCAAAAGGGCAGGAACGGCCGCTCTAGGGGGTCTAAAAACAAAAATTACAATAAAATTAAATTTTAGCTTTGAACAGCATTTAGATGCAGTTTATGAAATTTTTCAAGAAAGGTATTTTTTGATATAGTTTTTACAGTTTTATTGTGAGAATATAATAATACTATTATTTGGAATGTTTAAAATTAGTTTGAAAAAAATAGCATGTTCTATTTGGAACTTTTAGTTTTTTTTTTCTAATGACATTTTGTGCCTCGCTTGTAATGTCGTCAAACGTACAGTCTCGCCGCAAAAAGTATCATTTTTACTTCTAATAAAACAATATACTATTATTGAGATAAAAAAATATACTTATTGTTCTCAACAAAATAATGAAATAAGCCAACCAAGGATTTTATTGTGCTAAAATATGGAAAGTATAAGATATACCGAGAGTTTTATTGTATAAACGATGGTCAAAATTCCATTTCCGGTAAAACAGGAAGTACCTTCCAATTCCTTACATACTCAGTACGTTTAATCAGTGTAAAAACGGATGCAAGAATTCACTTTTAAATCATTTTTATCATATTTACGGAAAATAGTTAATTTTAAACATAATAATACTGTTATCCTGATTATTTAATACTGGGAGCTGTATGATTACTGCTAAGAGGTACTTTCTTTATACTTTTGTTGTTTATGTAATGTTAATTTATTAGAAACTCTTTAAACTTTGTCTTACGCTTATAATAAGCTTCTCAAATGAAAATAACTGAATTATTAATAAAAATTATTCTAATTTACTTAATAATTTACAAGTGTTAAAAAAGGAAAATGTTATACCATAAAAAATTACTTGAGTGATAGAAAATATTGATCTCTCCTATTTTTCTAATGTGATATTCTTATATCATGTCCTCAACCTCCCCTTTGCTGTGGAGCTTGGTGGTGGATGAACTACTAGATGAATTAACTCTAGCGGGAATACACTGCATTGGGTATGCAGATGACATAGTCATAATCGCTCGGGGGAAACATGAAGGCACCTTGTGTGATATTATCCAAAGAGGACTCCGTATCACTGAGAGATGGTGTAGGACTGTCGGGCTGAGTATCAACTCAGACAAAACCGCGATAGTGCCATTCACCAGAAGGCGAAGTCTGAAAAACTTGAAAAGAATCCAACTAGATGGAAAGGAAATACTGCCAACACAGGAAGTTAAATACCTGGGAATAACCCTGGACAGTAAACTCCTGTGGAACAGGCATATTAAGAACACTACCAGCAAAGCCATAAAGGCTCTCATGATATGCAGAAGACTGGCCGGAAATAGATGGGGCTGCTCACCTAACATTTTGCGCTGGATGTATACCATGATAGTAAGACCCATGATTACTTATGGAGCAGTTGCCTGGTACACAAAACTAGAGCAACGGACGGCAAGGCTAAACCTATGCAAAGTCCAGAGACTAGCATGTGTTTGCATCACAGGAGCCATGAGAACCGACAGGTTGTTGGACAAACAGCAGCAATGGAGGTCATTCTAGATCTAACACCACTGCACATTGTCATTGGTAGATATGCCAATGCGACAATGATTAGAATGGTCACTAACGGAATTAGTACTGGGAGAATTGTCAGATCAGGGGCTTGGAACACCCTCAAAAAGGAAATACCACTTCTGCAACTCCCAGTGGACGATATGCCAAGAACGTACAACTTTGACAAACATGTCAATGTAGTATTGAGCAATAAGAAGGATTGAAGAGCGAAACGCTTGCCCAGCAGTTAAAAGACCATACCATAACTTGGTATACTGATGCTTCCAAAACCAATACGGGAACAGGGATCGGAGTGTTTGGACCGAGAGCTAAATACTCCGAACCAATGGGCACTTACCCTAGTATCCTACAGGCAGAAATCTACGCTATCGAAAGATGCGTACAACTTATCTTAGATAGCAACTATCGGAAACAAGAAACAGCCATCTTGTCTGATAGTCAAGCAGCGTTAAAAGCGATCAACTCAGTATCGATCAATTCGAAATTGGTCAAAGAATGCATAGAGAAGCTGAATAAATTAGGCAAAGAAAACAAAGTCCTCCTACTCTGGGTGCCTGCTCACCAAGGGATAGAAGGCAATGAAAAAGCAAATAATCTAGCTAGGAAAGGAGCTAACACTCCACTAACTGGACCAGAACCGTTCTGCTTTCCAAGTGGTAACCAACTCAAGGCGGAACTCAAGAACTTGGAAGATTCCATCCGCAACCTGGAATGGAAATCTTGCAATGGTCTAAGACACTCGAAGAAGTTTCTGAGGGCTTATGATCAAGAAAAATTACAGATCTTCCTGGGTCTGAGTAAGAACAATCTTCGGATTGTCACGGGGTTTTAACAGGACACTGTCTCCTCAATGAACACCTCAGTAGATTGAAACTAAGAAGAAACGGCGAATGCAGATTCTGTGGGGAAGATGGTGAAACACCAGTACACCTCATCACTGAGTGCGCCGAGACGACAACCATTCGTGCCATGAATTTTGGTACGACTGATATTGGAGATGGAGAACTACCCTCTATAAAACCGTCCCAGATACTGGCTTTTGTCAAAGCCCTGGGACTGTATGATGAGTTATGATTCAAGAAAGGGGGACACAATGGATCTGTAAGGTCGAAGTGATTAACCCCCCTCCCACTCATTCTAAATTCTAAATTCTATATCATGTTAATATTAACTTTTAACTTTTCAATTGGACATATCAAAAATAACTCTTTTTAAAACCATATCTGCTAGAGTAACATAGTAGTCGAACTACATCTAATTTACATTAAAAAGTCCTAGCTTTAATTTTCATTTTTTTTAGTTTATTTCGATTTTTTCTAAATAATTTATGAAGTAACGTCAATATTTCGATGAAAATTGGTGTCTATTGGTGGAGGAGTTTTTTGACATAAAAATTTGATTTTGATGTCAGTATGACTCCTACTTGTAGAGGGCGCCATCTACAAATTTTTAACTGGTTTGAAAAGTAATAATTTTTGGTCCGTGCCTGTATAAAATTAGTGAGTAAAGAAATATAAATTTACGACGTTTTTTACGTAAAAAAGATCTCTTGGTAAAAATCGGTACCAAGTGATGGTTCTCGAGATATTTGGAATCGAAATTATCACGACCTCTTATCATTTAAATAAATTAAACATGATGACTAACAGCTATTAGACATTATTATATTATCATCATTTTTTCGCAGAAAAATTACGATTAATTTAAAAAAAAATTCCAAATTTATTATTTCAGACCTTTGAATAAGAAGACTAACAGCGCTTTCTCAGGCGACGGACCGTCCGCGACGGAGCGTCCGTGACCTCGAGTAAGTACCATGAGTTTATATGAACAATTTCACATAGGCGCGTATGCTCCGTCCGACGGAGTTTGTTCGACGGCTATCTTGAAAAAACACGACGGACGGTCCGTCGCGGACGGTCGGTCGCATGTGAAAACGCTGTAAGGAAGGAGCATATCAAAAATCTTAGGTCCACCGCGATGGGCCTCAAATATGGCCGACTTAAATTCCGGTTTATCAGTGCCGTTCTAATTTTATTTAAAACATGTAAAACTATGATGTAGGGTAGACGTGGGGTAGACTCAATAGTTTGTTAGTTTATTTTACGTTGTGAATAAATGTTGGTAGTTATTAAAATTGTTATAAAAATATAAAATTTTAATAAAAATAGATAAGTTATAATAATTATTTATAACCATAAACGTCCGATACGCTACTTACCTGCTTAAGTCAAATTAACGTAGCTAAATTCTTTGACATCTAATCTTTGACAAGTAGTAAATAAAAGCAAAAATGCAAGAAAAAATATATAATTAGTTAATTTAAGTGAATTTCATAAATGATCAGTTTCCTACACGTATGTATATTATATAGTTACTTACTAGCGAAAAGTTATTCCACTATTTCACTCGATTTTTTACCTAGATCTACCGCACGCTACACAACCAACTATTTAACAGTTTTTTTCGATAAATCGCAATAGTGTCACTGTTAATTTAAGTTCTGCCACAATTTCCATCTAGATTTACTCCCTTCATACAACTATCAGTAGTAGAATAAATAATAAATAACATAAAATAAGCTCCGTAAAGACTGACAAATCCACAAAATTTCAAATCAAATTCAAATGTGTCAGATGAATCGTCAAACAGAACTGTCAAGGATCCCCACCCTAGAGTGCTTTTTCCGCCCACCATGCAGGAATACATGGATAGCATTATGCTCCTTCCTTAGTCTTCTTATTCAAAGTTTCAGACAAATAACTATCTACTCAAAAGGTGCTTATTTTTTGTCAAGAATGACATGTATTGAATATTTCCATTTTAACTATCTTGAGAATGGTTGACTGTAGCGATTTTTATCAAGAGACATTTTTCATGTCAAAAAAAACCGAGATACCAATTTTCATCCAAATATTGACGTTACTTTAGAAATTATACGAAAAAAATCGAAATAAAAATTAAAGTTCTACACCCTGTATCTCCGAAACTAAGCATTTTAGGATGTACATTTATACGAATTTTTTTTATTTATTTTTATCTGCAAAATGCTGCCGAAGTTTCCGGAATACTGTTCGGACCAGCCTGTATATTATTTTTATTTAACCTTTCGAGGGCTGTAATTTCTTCGCGAAGCATTTTAGGGCATATGTTCATAGGAACTTTTTGATTTATTTTTATCTGTAGAATCACCCACCAAAGTTAGAGACACTATTTTTTTGACACCCTGTATAAAACTTTAAAATACATGAAAATGTTAAGGTGCCCGTTTTTTGTTCCGTGATACATTTTTGTTGTAGTGTTACTCAGTGTTATTAGACAGTTAAAGCAAGGCACAATACGTATACACGTAACGCAGAAACCTAGGTTACGTCTGCCGTTGCGTTGTCGTGTAAACAAAAGTTAAAGCAAGTATTTTGACGTACGTAACCATAGACTTAAAATAAAATATAGACTACACTATTTACATCTCAACGCGGACAAACAATATTTTTTGTACACATGTTTACTTCTGGGTACAGTCAAAGTTTACAGAATAAAATATTTATAAGTCGGATACTGTTTAAAAAGGATAAGTTCTTTACAATATGACAACACCGATTAGAGGCGAGGGAGCCTATTCATTCATTTATTACCTTGTATTACGCGTCGCACGTGTGCGGTAAAGCTTTGTTGCCGCTATCTCCCCGGCTGTATAAACGCATTTTCTTAGCTTGTAGTCCTTAAGTGTTTATTTTATTGACTTTTTCTGTTCAAGAACTATAAAATATGGTTTGCCAGTGCCAAATTTGCAAGAAATTTGACTTAAATAATCCATTTAAGTCTTGAAACGACTTTTGACCGGTAGGCAACTCTCAATTTACCCATTGGGAGTCAGTGGCGTTGTTGTAGAAAGGCGCTTATTTAGATAATATTTTAGTAAAATGTAAAATCTGAATATTTTCTCTTACATTACATTATTTACTTACTTACATTCTTACATGTTTTTTATTAAAAATATATTCCGGTTTATTCTAAAATTATCTTCAGAATCTAAAATAACATACAAGAATTTTAAAATGATATTACATTATGAAACAATATTTTTTAATATACCGGGTCGTCTCAAAAGTGGCTCACCCCTATAACTTTTTTATTTTTTCAGATAAAAAAACAGATTTGTATGTTAGTAGGTATATGACATAAATTAGGATTTATTGACGTATTCAATTGTTTTTGGTCTCTTCCTGTTTCACCCAAATGATTACATCTTTTGATTTTTAAAGGCACCCTCGGTATATTGCTACTTTATTCGATAAAAAATGACACTCTGAATAGAATGACATATCATATGTCAACTTTTGACATTGTCGCTTAAAAACAAAACCTATTTTAAATTTCAATCCAGGGTGCCATGGTGTTGTTAAGAACACTAAGTTTTAATCAAGGAGCCTTGGAAAAATAGTTTTGATCGTCTAATAGGTTTCGTGTCTTGTCTAGGCCGGTTAAAAGATGTACATATCGTATTTTTAATCATACATATGTCAATTTTTTCAAATGGAACAAGGGTGACTCGTTAGCATATTTGGAAAAATCATTTTTTTATGAATATATTGATACCACACACTTGCTATTTCGAGTCGTTATTGTCGTTATGAACCGCGTATTACAATTACAATTAAACCATATGCGAAAATGTCAAAAGTTGACATATCATATGTCATTCTATTCAGAGTGTCATTTTCTATCAAATAAAGTAGAAATATACCAAGGGTGCCGTTTAAAAATTAAAAGTTATAGTCATTTCCGATGAAACAGGAAGTGACCAAAACAATTGAATGCGTCAATCAATCCTAATTTATGTCATATACTAACATACTAAATCTTAGTTTTTTATTTGAAAATATAAAAAAATTATGGGGATGAGCCACTTTTGGGACGCACCCGGTATAATAAAGACAGTACCGAGTTAAATAAATGTAGTTTTCATTTTATCCACTTCCTATCACCTTCCTTGCTTTAATGGATTGGATTTATGTTTTCTCTAATTTACATAAGACATAACTTAACCAGAAAAAAATTACAACAATCATATATTATTTTTTTCTCTGTCGCCGATTCTATTATATCTGTGGAATAGATCCTGTTTTGATTAATATTAGGGGTTGTAAATGTTTGACTAAAATTAATAATTTATTATTAATTTCAAAAATCACGTAATTTCGATTATAAAATTTCTTCTATAACGTGTATTTTATTATTTTTATCCTTTTTGGACTCTAAATTGTTTTTTCTAAACTTTTATTTAAAAAACCTGTCCTAAATCTTAATAAAATATAAAAAAGTTCAAATACGATATATTTTTAATTTAATTATAGCTTCATTAAAATAAAAAAATTACCCGGCTATGATACGGAGAGTTCAGGTGTACTTGAGAAACGAAAGACAGTGTTGTGTTTCTCGGCAGAGTCGTCAGGGAACGACCATTACGACAGAGACAACCTATCTATCGCTCGTGTCGCACTCGTTATAACCTAAAACAATAACACAACAATAACAAGACAGTGTCTGACCGCATGTTCCAGCTATTTATGAATGAGATGCCCAGTCAATATTTTATTTTAAGTCTATGTACGTAACGCAAATGGTACATTTGCAATTCTAAATTATTTTGTGAAACAATTTATTTAATTTTAAAACTGAAAATGGATATCTATTATTCCATTGATTCCACATTAAATTTATAAAAGTTCGAAAAATGAAGAAAATTATAAATTAATTTATTACAGAAAGTAGTCCTTACAACTTAAAATGCTCTTAGTAATAAAAAATATTGTAAATCAGACACAGTTTTATGATTATTTATTAGATTCCATCTTTTAGAATCCTCATATGGATTTTGGCTAAGAACTAGCATTTATTAAATAGATTCCAAAATGAGTTTATTATGATGCTTAATATTTTCATACTAATTTATTGTAATAAAATAGGTCCAGTTCTATTACACTCGCCCCAAAATTTATGAAATAACTTAATTACTAGCCAGTTGTGGAAACGAGTTATTTGCGAATTTGTACGTTCGGCATCATTCGGGTGAAAATCAAAACTCCTTCGGCTCGATACGTTTGCGTTTTGTACGTACATAAAGACACGTAAAGATACGTATCACGCATGGTACAAAGAAAACAAGGTATGATCGATGGCGGCTCCAATTTCGTTAAGTTTGCGCATACCACCTGTGACGTCATACGCCAGACAAAAAAATATCCATATTGTTCAATTGCCACTAATAAAAAAGACTTAAAATAGGGAAGAATTAGGACATAACCCCAAAAGTTGTGTCAAATTATCGAGCTTGACATTTGAAAAATGATTTTCACATTTATTATGTCATCTGTTTGATAATTTGAAATTGGCGCGCGGAGCTTGCCGACCCATGGTACCTTTATCACCTGTGACGTAGTGACCAATGCGCGCAATTTCATACCTTGTATTCTTTGTATCATGCGTATCACGCATCCGTAAACGCAAGTGAATTTCTCACTGCGCAAGCGTACATGTTAAACGATACGTTTACGTCTACGTCTTTGGCCTTGCTTTAACTGTCTATTTAAAGAAATTAATTGTCTCTTTACCTGCATGGTACAAATATTGCTACCGATATTCCTGCAGAGTCAGAGTCAGGACTGGAGTCCGAATCGGCAGCTTCCCCATACTTTTGTTCGAGGGCTTCCAGTAATGACGGCATTGTTTATGAATCTAGCTGAAAAACAAGACCAGAAAAAAAACATTATAAATACGGCAACTTTCATTTTCGTTTCACAATTCGTTTCAATCAAAAAAACAATTAACTAGTTAAAATGTCGGTACCTATTTCGAGTGATATATCTAATTTGCATTTTACACCACGCTGGTACCTTTAACAAGTCTATTACTAAGTAAAATAGATAAATAAAAGTATTAATGAATAGTTAGAATAATTATTAAGTTAAATAATGACTCAAGAAATCCCATATGATCGAAAAAACGCCGGAGATGGTTTGGAAACAAAGATCGGTATCAATATACAGGGTGTTACTTAATGACATGCCAATATTTAAGCAAGCGATTCTTTGGCCTTTTCTAAGAAAAAAAAAACTTCATGTGAATGATGTCCTAAACACCTTAAAATTTTCGTAATAACTCTGATGATATTATAAATATATTTACGAAATTTGTTACACGTCGATTATGCCTAAAATAATTATTTATGGTACTAGTGTGTTATCTTACATATAAGTCACGCTGGGAAATGTTTAGCCCTCGAGGCCGTAGGCCGAAAGGGCTAATTTTCTCAAGTAACTTATATGTTATAACACGCGAGTGTCATACAAAATTTTATAAATGGAATGTCCAATCTCTAAAGAATAATTGATTTAAAATGATCTACCAGTTCTACTTTCATTGTTGCGAATTAATAAATTATCAGTGTGCGTTTATGTTACTATGCAATATAGATGTGCGTTTTTTTTGTAAATAATAAATAGCACTGACATTAAGACGTCATTTAGATAAATCGCGATTTTTTAACGATAAAATAGTGAATTATCAACTAGCAAGTCAGATTTTAAAGAAAAATGATTCAGGAAGATCTTCCTCGAGAAATTATTAACCAGGCAGAGGCGGCTACAGCACAAATACTGCCAGAAAAGTCTCGTGGCGTATATGACAGGGAATTCATAACACACTAGTTTGTTATAACTTAAAAAACTCACGCGTGAGTTATTATTTATTTTATATGCATGTATACATGTGAGTAATGTCTTTATAAGTAGGGGCTGTTAGATAAATAATTTTTTTTTGATGTTCAAAATTTGTTTTTTTTTGTCTCTCTGAATTGAAGCAGAATGACTTCCACACATTAGTAATTTGACCCTTAAGTAAAATGACTTATATTTTTAAAGCAAAAACTACCAGTGAAACGAATGAAGATTTTAAAAATAATGTTTAATTTAAGAGAAGTGGGTACCATTTTTTTCTTCAAAAATATATTCAATTTAAAACCCGTATAGGACTCACTGGTTGATTTTGTAAAATTTTGAAAAAATATTTTAGAACATTTGACAGTATGTCAAAAGTTAAGAAGTTTGGGACATACGTTCATTATGAAGTTTTTTGCTTAGAATAGTTTCAAGAATCATTTCCTTAAATATTAGCAAGTCATTACGAAACATGCAGGAATATGCAAAAATATAAAAATGTTTGATTGTCATTTCTAAAACCAACTTGACGCCATTTTTTTCAATCATACGGTCATGGTAGTATAAAAAGTTTTCGGGTTTTTTTATTTACAAATAAGGCAGCTTTACGGTTTTCGAAAAACTAATCGGAAGCAAGTTTTTTATTCTACGTATTATTATTACAATTTTGTTTCCGGTGTTATAAAAAAATTGGTTGGGGTTCGTAAAAACCCCAAGATTCTATCTTTATAAATGAACAAAAGACCCTTCGACTTTCAAAAGAGCAACTAAAATGGGGCACCCTGTACAGGGTGGGTCAAATTCGACTCTTTTAAATGGAAACACCCTTTTCTATAGGAGATAGACAAAAACTAATATCGGTGTCTGGAGCTCAATTTTTGTCAAAAACATGATGGTGAAAACCGCATATCGATATCTGTTAGCGTTTCGGAGTTACGGGGTGTTTTTCAAAAATATGCATTTTTAACAAATCGCTGTAACTTTTTTGCTATGGAACATTTTGTATTTTTATGAAAACATTTCCAAAGCACCTTTTTACGTAGAATTTAATGGTTTAAGTATAATTTTTTTAAAATTAATAATTTAAGAATTATCAACAGAAAATTTGATTTTTTATATGAGACACCCTGTATATTTTTAATTTATTGAAAATTTCACACCTCTACTTTTCAACCAATAACATGCTTTAATGTTGACTAGTTACCATGGCAACTGAAAAAATTTCCGGAAATTTTTTCGAGGCGCCACGAAACTTTAGTGGAAATTTTTTGACAGTTGAAAAGGTAAACATAAGATCTACAATCATAATGTGAATGAACTACAATGTCTATATATTGAAATATTACCCATTTGAGTTTTAGCAATACCTTGGCCAACTTAACAAATTGAAATTATTTTAAAATGTCATGTTGGATTAATTTTTTTTTTTTTCAAATTTAGGTGTGAAATTTTCTTACCGAATACCACGCAAGCTTAAATTATTCCTGGAAATTTTCTTTCGGGCACGAATATTTTAGGAAAATTATCCCTCGTCTTCGACTCGGGATAATTTTCAAAATATTCGTGCCCTCAAAAAAATTTCCGAAAATAATTTAAGCTCTTGTGATATTATAAGTGAAAAGAATTTAAAATTACCTTTCCAAAAATATAACACACTTGATATTTTGCTCGATTCCTCTTCGAGATATAGAGTATATCAAAATACGGCCCGCTCTAAATAAGTAGGCTTTGAACGGCACTGGCTGTAATGCAAAAAAAATTCTAGCTGTGCATCAATTAAAACGAAAATAATATTTGCTATGAGAGATGCAGAATTTTATAACAATTTAAAATATATTTAACCAACATCAACACATTTAAACTATATCTAATAACAATAAAAATAAATAGCAAACCAAGACATGAGATTTTGCTACAGGTGTTCGACATCTCGACCGTCTTCTGATATGAACAGACGGGGCAGTTTTTGAACATTTCTCGCGGAATTCATTAACTCAGTAGGGGTGAAAGATACCCTCTCATAACTGCTACGTAACCGCAAATATATCCATAGGATTAGATCCATGGGCACTAAGTCAGGCAGCCTCGACGGCCAACGGCTGAGATCTTGGTTAGCTGCTATTCAATTATTCTTGAAATTGACTGCAAAAATTTGCTGATAACTTCAGCGTTCAGAGGCGGTGCGTCGTCTTGCTGGAAAAATATATTTTCGAGTTCCGTTAAGGGCATATCATCAATAAGGGGTCCAAAGCCTACTAGTTAAAAGTGGCGAACTTTTAAAAATACTGTATTTCGATGGGGATTATAACAAAATATTAAGTGTGCTATATTTTTGAACAGGTAATTTTAAATTCTTTTCAGTTAATTAAAAATATAGAGGGTGTCCCAAATAAAAAATCAATTTTTCTGTTGATAACTCTTAAATTATTAATTTTAAAAAAATTATACTTAAACCATTAAATTCTACGTAAAAAGGTGCTTTGAAAATGTTTTCATAGAAATACAACATTTTCCATCGCAAAAAAGTTACAGCGATTTGTTAAAAATGCACATTTTTGAAAAACACCCCGTAACTCCGAAACGGTAACAGATATTGATGTGCAGTTTTCACCATCATGTTTTTGATGAAAATTGAGCTCCAGACACAGATATCAGTTTTCATCTATCTCCTATAGAAAAGGGTGTTTCTATTTAAAAGCGTCGAATTTGACCCACCCTGTACATTAGTTGATTTGCATATTCAGTGTTCAGTGATATATGACCAAAGCGACAAGTTTTAGGTGCAGCGTTCATTCTCTGAAACAAAATGTCTAGATTGTTGACCTCTAAATTAATTACGCTTGGCAGGTTTACGAAGAATCAGTATTTCAGTAAAAGTAATACTTCACATGCAAATCTACAATACCATAAGAAAAAGAGAAATACTAGGATCAGCCATTTCAGTAATTTTATATCATATTCGATATACAGGGTGTCCCAGGCTGAGCGTGCATTAGAAATCTCTAGAGAACCACAATATCTAGACCGGAGATTTTTTGCACATCATTGTTTTACAACGAGATCTATCGATTAAAAATATTTTCAATATGGCGGCACTTTCGGAAGTACCGGAAGTTGACAGCAACTTTCTTATTTTAAATGGGTGACCCCATTTTTTATTACATACTTAAATTCTCTGTAAAATTTTATGAATTTTGATATCAAACACTCTATACCTAACATTAACCGTTTTTGAGAAAAAAACATTTAAAATTTTTGGACGAAAAAAACTGCCTGTCAAAAATATGTGTATAGTCTAAACGTCAAATTTAGTGACTACCACAGCCACTGTGCCATAAAGAGATGACATGTGGCTATCTATCTTAAAAATTAAATTGTTTGAATGTCATACAATAATGGCTGCAGCTGTCATGGAATTGAAAGATTAAAAAAGTATCATAAATCATTTTTTTCAAATGGCAACCCACGTTTTTTTATTTCACTAGTGAAAAGGCTTTTCAATTCGTTACTTTTTGACTATACATATTCCTATACCTAAAATAAATTGTTTTTAAGTTATTTAAAATTTAGTTTTAAAGCGTATATTTTTCTTGATATAAAGTAGCCTATGACCTTAAACGTCAAGTGATGTAAAACAATAGATCTGACCATGTCGTATTGTGACACTTTGTTCAAAAAGCAGTATGTTATCGATCATCATTTGCAAGCCAACTTTGCAAAAAAAATCTCCGATCTAGATGTTGTGGTTCTCTAGAAACTTCTAATGCACGCTCAACCTGGGACACCCTGTATATTCCATTACTTATACAGGGTGGTCCGAACTGTATTCTGGAAACTTCAGCAGCATATTCTGCAGATAAAAATAAGTAAAAAAGTTCGTATAAATGTATGTCCTAAAATGCTTAGTTTCGGAGATACAGGGTGTAGAAGTTTCATTTTTATTTCGATTTTTTCCAAATAATTTCTCAAATAACATCAATATTTGGATGAAAATTGGTGTCTGGGAGTCTTTTGACATGAGAAA